GAACTGTACTCAGTAGTTACAGTGTGAATTTCTTTTGTAACCTTTTACCCTTTAGAGCCTATATTTGAGACTAGACTAGACTTGACCTTTTGATTTTTATGGCACGATCGATACATTGGTGGGGTGGGGTGGGGCGGGGGTTGGATAGGGGTGGGTGTATTATTGAGTGAAACGAGGAGTTTCGTTATTGAGCGAATTCATTTTCTTTAGTTACTGGACTTCATGACCTGAACTGACATCGGTTAGAGAACCATTGGAATAACTGGGATAACTGGTCAGGTTTTTCGTCCTTGTTTGGAACTTTTGAACAGTTCTAAGCTACCGGGGTTTGCATACCACTACTTCATGATAGACAGAAGTTGGAATTCATGCATTGGTCATTGGATCGGGTTCCAATATCCTAATGGTTTACGAGCTCTCTGGCCTTGTAACCAGAAGGTGCTTGTTTGGAAAAGTATCGATGGTTGGGTACCGATGAGGAGTCCTAAACTAGGATGAAACAGCTGTGCAGTATCCTCAGGTTCTTCAGTGGTTTTCTAACCGATGTCAGCTCATCACGATGAAATCCTTCAGCCAATCAATGAAATCCCTCTTAAAACCAATACTTGAATATCATTTTCATCAGCTGTACAATCACACCTACAAACAATCTGTTTTTACTTATTTAATTGAATTTTTGATTTTCCCGTCGATTGATTGGACCGAAGTGCTCGGTCTCAGGCTGAAATGTCTGTCGGCTTCTTGTGCTAATGCTTTGACGATGTCTGGACATGTAATTCGAAGTGAATTGGTGAATGGTGACTAGCAGTGGAATCCAGTCAGGATGAGCATTTCGTCCTAATTGGGACTCGTCAGCTAACTGGATGTACGTACATTTCTCAGTGAGTGATGATGCTCCCACCTAGGCTCGAACCCAGTGTGCTCATAGTTTCAAACGCCAAAGCGTTATCTATCAGACTACTTTGGCTATCATCACTCACTGGGGAATTGCAGGTACCCCCAGTTAGTTGACAAGTCCCAAATAGGACGAAATGCGCATCCTGGCTAGATTCCACTGCTAGTCACCATCCACCAATTTAATTTGTTTTCACGTGCGAAAAAAATGACTTGTCGTTCATAATCATAGTTATTTAATACTAATCCACGCCTTAGAGAAGATAAATAAGCGTGTTAGGGGGTTACGTAATAAGAGAAATAATGTATTCAGTGAGTTGTAATCAAAACTGATGCACACAGAGATAAGAGAAAATGTGATATTACGTAAAAGTCAGAAAAACGTTTTTCTTTAAAACATCAACAAAGAAACAAACAAAGATCAAGTTACAATGATTTACTAAGTGGGGTAGAGTTGAAGTGGATGAATTACAAAACTTTTAAAGATTATTAAATAAGTGAACTGGTATAGAGATGGTAGAGAGACATTGGTTGGTGTTACGCTAAATTCACGAATTGGTAGAAGTTAGAATTCATGCAATGGCCATTGAATCGGATCTCAGTGATTGAATGGTATACGAGCTAGCTAGCTTGCCTTGTAACCGGAAGTTCCTGGGTTTGAACCCTAGCGGTGGGTGCGTTCCGCTGATGATTTCCAAACTAGTGGGATGAAACAGCTGGCTGTCCAGTACTCTGGTAGTGGTTTTCAATGGTTCTCTAACTGATATCAATCTGTGATCAACTCGTAAACCCAAAACTAACGCTTACAAACCAAACTATAGAAAAGTGAGATTTTAAAGTTGTAGGTCAAGGGTTGCCTAAAAACTGCAGAGTACGATGATGATAACGGTGTTTTTTATGCAACTGACTTATATTTAGTATTTACCAGCCAAAATATGATTTTCAAGTATTGGTTTTGTAGGGATTTTGTTTGATTGATTGTGGAGGATTTCATCATGAGCTGACATCAGTTACAGAACCAATGGAAAACCTGGGAGTACTGGAGAGCCAACTGTTTCGACCTAGTTTGGGACTCTTCATCAGTACACACCCACCAGGGTTGGCTCAATGGCGGTGTACGAGCTTTTCTTGTAACCAGAAGGTCCTGGGTTCGAATCCCTGTGGGTGCGTGCTGATGAATAGTAGTCCCATACTAGGACGAAACAACTCTCCTGTGTACTCCGAGGTTTTCTAGTAGTTCTCTAGCTGATGTCAGCCAATAATGAAATCCTCTATGCAATCAACATAGGATTCGACAATGCGTCAAGGATAAATTACCACTTATGTTCACTTCTGTGTGCATATACTCATTCCAAGGAAACGCGTAGCTGAACACTAACCGGTTTAGTTAATCGCTTTGGCCTTGTAACTGGATGGTCCTGGATTCCAAACCCAATGTGGGATGAATGGGTTCGTATTGATGAAGAGTCTCACACTAATCCTATATTCTGAATATATAATTAATTACTCCATGATACTTTTTTGTATGATTCGACGATTGTGCCTCTCACTCGACTCGTTTCGAAGTCCACACTTCCAATATTATTCTTGCATGAGAGGTCTGCTGAGAAAATGACCATTTTCAGGTGAGGGGAAGGGGTAGAATCCACTAAAAAATTTGTAAAAGATGTATTACTGATAACCTCATTCATGTGAAGTAAAGTTCAAATAACGCTAAGCTTTCCCGGTCCATATATATATATATTATTCCCTTGAGTTCCGAGTGGAACATAGGGCTCCAACAACACATCTCCCCTTTGTTCTGTTTTCTGCCGTCCTCTTCAGTTGGCTAACCACACGATTGACGAAACTGTCGCATCTCTTCCTCACACGACGTCACAATGACGACCTACTCGCCGCTTCCCCAATTGGATTCCACTCGAGCGATAGCCTGCATTGCGCGCGTTATCATTCGACGGTCTCCTCAGTGTATGCCCAATCCATCCATCTCTATTTTCTCCTGCATATTTGCTGAGTAATCGACTCTTCATTTTATTTGGTTTGTTCCATTTCAGAGTTTCTCGTTGCTTATTCTTTCTGACCTACCGTTTGATCATCAGTATGGAGCGAGCAAAAAAAAAGCCAGCTGTTGATGAAAGTCTTCAGTTGGCTGTTGAAAATCCTTTTCGTGACATGCACTGCAAGTTTCTGTGACCCGTGTGTAGAACACAACTGATCGATTTCACATTGGGGTTGAAAATCCGAATCTTGTTCTTTTTTGCTGTCTGAGTGAAGCAGAAGATTTCCAAACTCGTCTGAGACTGATAAAAGCGTCTCTTTCTTTTCCAATCCTGGCTGACTGGCTATAACATCTTCTCATCCGTTCCGCCTGTAGTTGTATCGAGTCTTCCTGCTTGGACAATTGAAGGAAGTAACCACCTCTGTTTAATCTTTCCCGTTGGTGGTAATTGATGCTGGTGTAACAACAGAAGACAAGGGCCAGGCAACAGATCGTTTTATTATGAAAATCAACACGTATTTATACATCTTTCAACTACATTATTATAGACAAGCGCAGTCATCTGATTGGTTGTTTAGGTAGACAAACGCAGGCTTCTGATTGGTTGTTTCGGGATTCCTTGACAAATGCGAATCATATTTTGCCACGTTAACTTTGCTGTGATTGGTTGTTGACTCAGGCTTGTTCATATTTTCTCACGGCCCATATTAGTGACCTAGACCTTAACGTAGATTAGTGCCAACCAATCGGCTAGCAGCCTGCTCTCACCACACTGGTTGTTGTTGTTGTTGCTGTTGATTGGTGTGTATCTTCATCACCTCCGTCTTCTCTGTTTTCACTTGGAGTCCTGTCTTTGCTGGCAGCTTCTTCAGACAGTTTGTGTTTGTTCTCGCCTGTATATCGTTTGCGAAATCCAGATCTTCTAAAGTCTTCTTATCGGTGATCCAGCGTACTTCCTGTCTTCTCGCTTCTCACAGTCTGACGCATAATTCCAGTCCACCACAATTAAGAATGTCATCGGTGATATTAGTGGGTAGCCCCTATCTTACTTCGAATGCCTCGCTGAGGTTCCCGTTGTGAACCACCTGACACGTGTCACTGTTATATAGCCATTTGTTGAGTGAGTTTTATAAAGACATGGGCACTGCAAGCCGTAGTGTTGAAGTAGTTTCCTTTCCAAATTACTTCTCGGTTAACGGCTGTCTGCCGAAGGCTTTCTCGAAGTCGAATATATATATATATATACGTATATGTTATACTGCACTCTATTTATAGTTATTTATTGATTTTATTTTTGATTACAGCTTGATTCCACACACTGTATTTTTGGTACAAGTATGGAATTTTCAGCATGGATATCGGTAGCCTGAATTTCGCAGGCCGACCATAGATATCAGGTATGCGTCGGCGTGGGCTCGAACCCCGGACCATGTGCATGGTCGGCGAGAGTCCTAACCACTGTGCCACCGACTCACATAATCAGGCAAACATCTATGAACACCGCCTTCTGCTTTCCTATTATTTTATTGATTTTATTCTTTTATCTTTCGATTGAAACATCATAGGACTTCAAGTCAGAGTTTTGAAATTTCCGTAGTAGTGGGTGTTTTTCTCCATTTTTACCCGATGGGGTTGGTAGTCTCACACACTCAATTTTCTTTCTTCACTGTCCTCACTACCGACTTAGTGAGGCTTATGAGTCCGCTGGGAGGGGATCGAATCCTGGGTTACATGTGGTGGCATGATTGGCGGAGGATTCCTACTGGTGAACCACTGATGAACACGACCTCTTCTCTAGTTTATTTTTTTATTTTTATTTTTGATTACAGCTTGACCCCCACACCGTACTTTTGGTAGAAGTATGGAGTTTTCAGCGTGGATATCGGTAGCCCAAATTTCGCAGGCCGACCATAGATATCAAATGTGCGTCGGCGAGGGCTTGAACCCTGGACCATGTGCATGGTCGGCGAGAGTCCTAACCAATGTGCCACCGACGCACAGTTGTGTAGATACAACAATATGTTTTATATAAACAGGTGTTACAAGGTTTATTGAAATAATAATAAATTCAATTTACGTGTTACATTGAGTTCTACAGGGTATTTATTAGTTAATGACCTGAATATTGAAAGATAACTTTAGTATTAATCTTAATAACCTTAAGATGTAAACTAGAAGTCTTAATTAAGGTCAAGCAGATAACTTGGTAAGTATCTGTTGTTTCTGAGACCCCTGTCGGTGAATAACTAGTATAGAATTATGCGGATTAATTAAATTGTAGAATACGTGACACATGTATACATCATGCCTTCTATATATGTATTTCTTAAATAAAACCACTTAGTATAATTATGATTGTAAATAATATCGCTTACCAGTTGATTTCGGCTGACTGTTCTTGGAAGTGAGAAGACAGAAATACGTTGGACCAACATTAAGAAGTCTCTAGAAGTTCTGGATTCCGTGTGTGGACGATTTGATTTATGTTCAATATCACACACACACACACAAACTGGAAGACTTACAGGCAGGCAGGCAGACGAAGACCAATAAACTGGCAAATGTGAGGTAGACAGACAGTGCAGACAGGACTCTAAGTGGACACAGAGAAGACCGAGGTGATGTTGATACCCACCGACCACCATCAACAGGAAGAAATTTCAAAGAGGTCACTTCCTCCACTTATCTAGGAAAAAATCGTTTCAACTACAGGTGGTGGCCACACGGATGAGGTTATCAAAACCAGACTCGGAAAGGCAAGGCACACCTTCATCACTGTGAAATCAATCAGTTTGGAAATCTTCTGTACTCCACCTCAGTATAAGCAACACAATTCGAATTTTCAACACCAATGTGAAGTCAGTCAGTCAGTCATTTCTTCTATATATGGGTAAGGAACTTGCAGTATGCACCACGAAGAGCATTTGCAAAAGGTCAGTGCAGACTTTTATCAACAGCTGTGCCATCTTCACTGGCTCTATTTTGAAGATCAAATGGTCGGTTAGAAGGAATTAACCACAAGAAGCTCTCATGATTCTTCTTTCATAGAAGTTGCTGAAGTTGAAATTGAGTTGAATGTTAGATACCTTGGATTATGTCTTTCCTTTGATCTTTTCTGCTCTTCTGATATCATGGTATTTTCTAACCTTCTACGTTAGGATGTACCTACGATCCCCAGCATGTGGTGCGACTCCAGCTGAGATCTGAATAGGCATAATAACTGATAACCGTTGCATGAGAGTGGTGGTCCTCGTGACCCTTATGGACTATGCTTTGATGTCTGGAACAATAGGTTCAAGGCTTCCAGCCTCTGTAGGGGAGTGCTGTCATCACTCACTAGGGATGACAAGTACATGGACTGGTTGACGAGTTCCGAATAGGATGAAATGTGCATGACCTGGATTCTGCGCAACTAATTACCCCATCCATCCCCATCCCTCAATTCAGTGTGTTCTGTTGAACGAATATCAAAACTTTATCAGTTATGTAGCGCATGATGCAGGCCATCACTCGAGTGGAACCTGAAGGGGAAATATCGAGTTTGGCTGTGGTTCAAGGGTGACATGGAGGAGATTGTGCAAGGAGAAAATCAGAGACTATGGGTAATCGTGTAACAGGCTGAAGAGGACCACCTTGTTAACGCTTTTGTAGGTAGACACATTGACTCATGCAAGAAAATAACGATTATTATCTTGTCAGAGCCTGAGAATTTTTTTTTTTGACTACAGCTTGATTCCACACAGTACTTTTTTGGTAGAAGTATAGAATGTTCAGCGTGTGATATCAGTAGCCCGAATTTTGCAGGTCGACCATTGATATCAGGTGTGCGTCGGTAGGGGATTGAACCCCCCGGACCAAGTGCATGGTCGGCGGGAGTCCTAACCACTGTGCCATGGAATCCTCTCTATACATAACTCTTTCTCCTCGTATCCCATCAGGTAGGAGAACTAGATGGTACTATAGAAGGAAGACTTTATGCTCGGAAGGCTAAGTATAAAAACACCACGATACCTTATTTGGCAGGCACACATTTTTTGTGATGCGAAAAGTGTGCAGGAAAGGAGACTTCTTAATTTACTGAGAAACACTAACTAAGTAATTGGTCCTCTTTATCGCTACTCCTCCCCCCTTTATTATATTGGGTTTAATATTTTGTCGCTTTAATTTCAATTTTATATTCATATTCTTGTTGAACAGTAGTCGTATCAATGTGAAGGTCGTGTTTAATTATTATCTGTGTGATGAGAATATTAGATATGCAGTGGCGTACTATATGGTGAAAATTCCATATTGTATCAAAAATTCTGTTTGTAATAAAGCCGTTATCATTACCATTATCATTATTATTATTATAAGGGAGTGATTACTGACGAAGTCTGAGTATGGAAAGAAAAGGTTCACATGTGAGATTTGCCAATTTATGTGATACCCACCTATCCATCAAAGAGCGTGTATATTGCACAGTGTCAGTCACGTAGGAAGGTGTAGACTTCCTGGTTGGGGTCCTCAGGACGGTAAAAACCAATGGCTGGAAACAATTGGTTGTATGTCTGGTTAAAAATATTCGCTCTCAATGGCTAGTGCAGATGTGTCCACTCATTGTGACTTATGATTTCCAATGAAACTATATTGTTCTTCGTTATTACTCCTCCTTTGTCTCTATTATGCATTTCTTCTACTTTCTTCTCTTTCTTTATGTGCTACATGGAGGGAGTGTGGCGACTTGAACTGGTGCACATCGGTGCTAAGGGGTTCTATGTCGAAAACAGACAAACAGTAGTTTGCTGTGTCATCCTTTATGGCTGTGAGACATGACCTTTGACAGTGGGCTTGGTGATAGGATAAGGCTTGGTGTTTTTGACCATTGATGTTTGCTTTCTGTTGTGGGTTAGGTGTGGAATGTCAGGTAAGGAGGGTAGGTCATTCGATGAGATCGCGAAACGACATCGATGGAGATGGCTAGGAACATAGGCATTCCTACCGGCGTCCAACAGTCATTATATTTCTTGACCTAAAGGCGGCATTCGACTCTGTCGATAGAGAAGTTCTCTGGAGATGCTTGGCTGTAAAGGGAATTCCGAGAAAATATATTACACTGATTAAGGCACTCTACTCGTACTCATACAGCCAGGTGAGGGCTTACGGCGAGCTGTCATCTGAACTGGTGACGACCAGTGGTGTCCGTCAAGGATGCCCATTATCCCCTTTTCTATTCAACTTCATCATAGATGTGTTAATGGACTTAACCCTAAGTGACTTCAGCGATTCAGGGATTGACTTGCTACCTGGGAATAATCTCGTTGACTTGGAATATGCAGACGATATAGTCCTTCTGGGCGAAGACGCTGACGAAATGCAGAGTCTTCTAAACACCTTGAGCTGTAATCTACGAATGTTTGGCATGCGATTCGCTCCCGCCAAATGCAAGATGATGTTACAGGACTGGACTACATCGATGCCTAGTTTAAAAATAGGAAGTGAAGTGGTAGAGCACGTTGACCGCTTCACTAATTTTGGAAGTTGCATCAGCTAACGCCAACGGGTTGATCTCTGACGAAATCTCAGCACGGATACAGGGGGCTCGTTTCGCATTTGCCAGTTTACGCCGACTCTGGCGTAGACGAGATGTTCGACTATCGACCAACGGGCGGGTGTACTCCTCATCAGTCCCCTCCGTCCTCCTTTATGGTTGTGAGCGAGACCTGGCCACTCAGAGTGGAAGACATGAAAAGACTAGCTGTCTTTGGTCATGGGTGCCTGCGCTCTATTTCCCGTGTAAAGTGGCATAATAAGGTGAGCAACATGGAGGTTAGGCGTCGAGTTCTAGGTAAACAGGGGAAATCAATCGACGAAGTCGTGAAGTTACAAAGACTGAGATGGTTAGGACATGTGTTACGTATGCCAAGCCATCGCCTCCCTCGACGAGCAATGTTAGCGGATATAGGGTCAGGCTGGAAAAAGGCTAGCGGCGGTCAAACAAAAACTTGGCACCAGTCAATGAAATCCACAACAGTTGGTCTAAGCCAGTCACGTAGGAAGGTGTAGACTTCCAGGCTGGGGTCCTCGGGGCGGTAAAAACAAGTGGTCGGAAACAATTGGTGACATGGCTCAAAATCGTTCTCAATGGCTAACGCAGATGCATCCACTCCTTGTGACTTATGATCTCCAATGAAACTGTTTTGTTTTTCTTTATTACTCCTCCTTTGTCTCACACCTCTGCTCACTGTTTCTATTATGCTTTTCTTGTACTTTCTTCTCTTGCTTCGCGTGCTACACAGAGTGTGGCGACTTGAACTTCCGCACATTTGTGCAAAGTTCTATGTCGAAAACAGACAGACAGACTGACAGGCTAGGAGATGAGGTGCGCAGCACGCCAAACCATCGTTTATCTCGTCGAGCAATGTTAGTTGATCTATGGTTGGGTTAGAAAAGATTTGGGAGTGGTCCAACCGAAACCTGACATTAATCCATGAAGTCTTCGGCGTTTAGTTTTGGCTATACAGAAAGGTGTAGACTATTGTCGTCGGTCCACATCTCAGGAGGGATGTGAGTTCCTTCAAGGTTACAGATACGCCTTGCTGACTGGTGAGTGCCAAAAAGTAAGAAACCTAAGTTCAAAGCTGTGTACCGATTGCCTCCAACCATTTAATAACAACAACCACAATTCAGAGGGCATCGTGATAGCGAGCCACCCAGGTTGACGGCGGCCACATTGCGGACCTGTCTGACAGGATTCAGTTACTACCCAATTTCTAATCAAAGTATCCAATACAGTCCTACAGGAGGTCAATCGCAAACCCGAATACCTCAGTGTGATGTTAACGTCTCTGACCGCATCACTTGATAACGCTGGGGTTCAAATCTCATAACGGACATGAGCTCCTTGAAATGTTGACTGTAGATACGCCTTGTTGACTACTGAGTAGTAATTGAGGTCAGATGAAGCTTCCTGACTGTGGGGTCATCGAGATGCTAAGAATCAGGGAATGAAGACTGTTGGTACTCTGGCTAAAAATCATTTTCATTGAGGCGCATTTCTTTACTCTTCACCAATTGATATCAGTTAGAGAACCATTGAAAATCAACTCAGAGTACTGGATAGCCAGCTGTTTCATCCCACTAGTTTGAGAATCATCGTCAGTACGCACCTACAACAAGGGGTTCGAACCCAGGACCTTCCGGTTACAAGGCCAGCCAGCTCGTATACCATTCAACCACTGGGACCCGATTCAATGGCCCGTTCATGAATTCCAACTTCTACCAATTCGTGATTTAACGCGACCCCAACCAATATCGTCGGTGGGACATCCATCCACACATGTGACATCTAATTGGACCTCACTGGTCACAACTTCTCACTAGAACTAACTCCAGGAAACTCTATCCTGTAGCCAGTAGTCACTAGCGGGCATTAGATTAATTTTCTATAGTTTGGTTTGTAAGCGTTAGTTTTGTTTTTAGGAGTTTGATCACGGATTGATATCAGTTAGAGGTACGATTGGAAACCAACTGGGAGTACTGGAAAGAGACAAAAAGAGAGCAGTAACTTTGATCCCGTGTACTTTTATGTTATAGTCCAACCTTGGAAACTCAATCAACTTGGTAACTAATATATATATATTCTTTCAATTGTTTTTCAATTTTCCCTTTAGATCATATCATTACACAATCGTGTTGAAATGATCCTAGTCAATACAAGTGTTATACGTGAGTTACAAGGAAAGTTAAATTCGCTGAAATATTCTCACTTACAATTAATTAATCAATTTCATAATTTTAATCAATTAATATCTAATCAATTAGAATGTGTTCAGGTAATGTTTAATCGATATAGTGAACAATACACCATAACTACTGATGAGACACTGCGAGTACGAAACACATTAGAAGGTGAAGAGAAAGCACGAGGAGAAAGAGAAGAAGAAGATGTTGTCATAGTTGTCAACAATCAAAATTGGTGGTCAAATGAGCCTGACCTATCAACAACAAATGAGGCTTATTTGAAAGAATTATCTGAATTAAAGCTAAAATATGAGAATCTACAAGATCAGTTGTCTAAATCTGAAGAAGAATCACACGCATTGAAAGCTAATCTACAAGATATTGAAAATCAGTTGAAGTTATCGATTTCAGAGAATCAGCTGACCGATTTGAAAGAAGCGATAGAATTAGTCGATTGTGAGAATAGTGCTTATGTGAGAAGATATATGTTTAGCGCATATATTGATTATGTGAATCAAATTATACATGAACATAAAACTAGCTGTCGTCTACCGTATAGTTATCAGCCTAGTCAGGAACATACAGTACAAGATAATGTAAGTGTTGTTGTATCACAAATAGAAAATCAATATGATCAATCCGATTATCAATTATGCACATTGAATGAATCAATACATCGTATTAGTGAATTACATCAACTTCTCTTGCAACATCATCAACAACAACAACAAGAACAGTCGAGGAATCAGCGGCAGCAGCAAAGTAGCTTCCCCGTAGATATTGAACAAGATCAATATCCATTTAGTCAAGAAATCGATAAATTACTAGATGATGATAAAACGGAAAGTGTCACTTTGAGTCAAAGTGAATTCACTCAGAGATTGGGGCATGCTATAAATGTCATTTATGAAGAATTAATTCGATGTCAAAGACTTGTTGATAAGTTGTTGAATGAAAAAGCCAACCACTGTAATATTATCAGCCAACAAGCACATGAGATACAACAATTGAACACGAGACTGATAGCAATTCAGAACGATTCAACCAGACAAATCTATCCTTCAGATGATATTGCTCAACACTGGGAATACACTCAAACATATATACCCCATAAACCTGCAGAAGACAGTACTCCACGGAACGATATTCTCGACCAATTCATCGAAATTCAACGAGTATCGCCCTCCATGAAATCCACTAATCAACAGGAACAGACAGGAGTCACACATCTCGATGAACCGTCTAAACCCTCACTATCCGAATATAACGCATTGGACGAGATGTGTAGAGATTTGCAGCGTGCACTGGACACACGATCATCGGAGTTGGAGACAGTAGTTGAGAAAATGAGAGGATGTGAATCAGTGAATGCAGCGTTGAGGCGTGAGTGTGAGTTGTTGAAGCATCGTGTAGAGAAGTACACAAGGGTGACGACTGATCTGGAGAATGATGTGAGTCGAGCGAAGGCACTTCTGCCAGTAGTTGTGAATGAGCTGAGAGACTTGCGCATCGACTATGCAGATTGGTGTAGAGAACACGAAGAACGAGTTGGTGAGTGCATTGAAGCTGTTGGGACAGCACTATCAGCATCAGTTCCTGTATCATCGTCATCGGATGATGTTGGTGGTGGTGTGGTTGAACGTGTGGACCGTGATTGTGGAACGAGTGATTGGCCAGAGGAGTTGTTGGATGCTTCTGTGAGCGAAATGAGAAGACTGTGCGATTCGAACCGTGAGCTGTCAGAGGATCTGTGTAAGTACCGAGAATTGTGTGATAAACAAGCGTCGGAGATATCATCGATGCAGATAGCTTTGCGTGAAGCAGTTGAGCAAGCGTCATCGTCACACAATGAACTGGAGGCTTCTAGACAGGAGAAAGTGAGCGAGCTGTCAGAGTTGGAGAGACGACTGGCTGTTTCGAGAGAGGAGTGTTGTGCATTACAGGATGAAGTGAACCGACTTGAGAAGTCGATAGAAGAGAATTGTAAGACAGCGGTTGCAATAGCCAGTCGAGACTGGGAGTTGCACATAGAGCAAGTGACGAGTGAACGTGACACTGCGCTTAGAGAGTTGGAGGAACTACGTGGAAGACTGGATGCAGCAGAGAGTGTGAAGATTCGAGGTGTTGAAGAAGCAGAAGCACAAGCAGAAGCTGGAACAGTAGCAGGCGAAGAAGCGGTGAGGAGAGTGATGACAAGCGATGTGAGAACTGAGAAAGTCATCGAGTGTGTCATTGAACATGATGTTGCCTTGTCGTCAGGATTGACACGTGACTGGAGAGAGACTGTGAGCGTGGGAGTTGGTCATGATGTTGACGACGACGACGAGTTGATTGGCGGAACGGTAGTTGACGGTTGGAGCGACTACAAGTTGGAGTGGAGCGCTACTGGTGATGAGGACAAGTGGCCGGCGAGTGTACCGAGTAGTGTTGTATTTGTGGATGCAGGCACTCAGGTGGTGGTTAGTGAGTTCCCGTTGATCAGTGGTGATGAGAGTTTGTCAAAATCAGAGTCAGGTGTTGTTGGTGTGGTGGATGATGGTGTAGATGCGACTGGTGTTGTTGAAATGGAGGCGGTGGCTTCGGTGTCGGCGGCGGCGGCGGCGGCGTCAGAGGAGGAATCGCGTAAGTCGATGGACGAGCTACGTGCAGAGTTGGCCTTCTGCTATGACCAGATAGCGACGCTATCGAGATGTGTGGAGGAGAGCGGTGACTCGTTGAGAGATGTGCGTCATTTGTTGAGTGTGAAGGAGAGAGAGGTAGCTGAACTGGAGGAGGAGAAGCGTCGTTTGTCGGTGGAGGTGAGTGAGGGTCATGAGACACTGTGTGCAGAACGACGCGATTTGGAGATGCTTCGTGCGAATGTTTCTGCGTTGGAGAAGGAGATGGAGGTGATGACGAGGCGGCGACGGGATATTGAGAGTGGTGTATCAGATGGTGTTGTTGGAGAGGAAGTGTGTGTGCAAACGGAGATGGAGGATGTCTTCGACTTGGTGTCGAAGCTTCAGCTGGAAGTGTCTCGTCTGCGTAGTGCGCAATTGAATGTAACAAGTTCCATGGAAGTATGTGATAGGCTTCCTGTTTTGGAATCTTCGCCATGGATTGTTTCTGTTCCGCCTGCTATTTGTGTGAGTGAATCGTCGTCTTTTGTCTACCCTTCGGCGTCTGTTTCACTACAGGCCAGTAAACCTACATCAGATTCTAGCATGTCTATTCGAATTGTTCCTCCTGTTATTGATTCTCAGGGCTGTTTCTCACTTCCTTCTGAATATCAAAAGCTTCCTGCTGCTAGCGATGTTGTTTCTTCAGTCCCCTCATTTGAAATGACTCCAATTATTTCGTCGACTCTGGCTTCTTCTTTATCTAGTGACCTTGTCACGCATCGTGATTCACTTTCAGTTGTCTCCACATCTTCGTATATCTCTTCAGTTCCTTCGTATAAATGTGAAACAGTTGAAGCTAGTATCCCACCGCCTCCTGTTAGACACTTCTCTACTCACCCTATAATTGAAATTTCTAAAGAATATTCAATTTCACTACTGAAGACAGATGTCGGGGAAGCTTCTAATGTTGTTCTCAGTTCGCCCAGTAAATGGGATGTCGAGGATACCGGAATAAACCTAACCACCTCATTGGGAAACCAAAATGTCGTTGAAGAATCTGCCACAGATGAATCGAATCTTCTTATGTATCTACCGAAAGATTCAAGTATGATGTCGTCAACTAGTCAAATTTCCCTTGAATCTAAGGCCATCACATTTGATCAATCGACTGATGATGGAATGAGGAGGGATATGTGCTTAGAACCTGATACTTTGTCCAGTCGACAGCTTAAATCATCAGTCCCTGAAATATTTTTGACATTACAACGGCCACAACCACCAACACAACGATCTGCTCAAGATATTTTTGAAGAGACAGACAATATTTCTGAAATGTTATTCACTCCTTCAGTAGTAGTGAATACTACTGTCACTTTGGATCCATTGGGAGAAACGTATCAGAAAGCCTCAATGCCAGAGTTATTCTGTCAAGCAATAGAAAGCGACACTCATCTTCAAGATGAGAAAATGCTAATCAATTCACTTATACCACCACCACCTCGACTTCCTACAAGAGTCACTCTCAGTGATTCAAAGTTCCAGTCTTCAGTACATCCTAAAGAAGTATATAAGACAATTGTCCCTGAGGAGACTAAAACATCAGAGCCTACTAGACTATCATCCTCGGTTGAACCAGATAACAATGAAAGTCAATTCTACGCTAAGCCTACAGAATACATATCCAAAGAATTTAGAAGTATATACGACGGAGGGATAACACATCCTTTAGACATGATGGACGACACCACCAATGTGGTACAACCATCACAGATATTTAATCCATTAGGAGAAGAAGATGAACATCAGACAATTGAAATTCAGGCAGAAATACACCGAAGCGACATCGTGTCGTCGTCAGCAAGGCAATCGAGTAGTCCTCTACCGAGTGGAACAAAAGTTGATGAAACTCCTGCTTATGCATCTACGATACTTGAAACATCTCAAAGATGGAGTGATGAAATACCCACATTAGAAGATAATCAACGCACAAGTGACAAATTCACAAACTTACCATTCTCTGTAACACAAAACGATGCACCAAGCACCGAAAATATGAACCTACAACCAACAATAATAAATAATCAATTAGATATCAATCAAACCGATCAAGCATATCATTACCATACCAAAAATTACCACTACACTGAAGACAAAAGTACAAAATATACGCGAGATGAACAGCAAGCAGAAAGCCAGACAACAGAAAGAATACCGACCGAACAAACACCTACGAGTACCAAAAATAACCTGGAAACGATAACTGAAATAAACATATACAAAACAAAAATAATCACAAAAGAAAAGATAATTTCTAAGGAAATAACAGTGAACAAAATAACGACACCGGAGAAACCAATATATCCAGAAACCTGTCAAACACATACTATATCAGATAACGTTATTCAACAACATTCCGACGAAACCGAACCAGATATTCTTCCGGATCGACTTCAGCCACAGGCTAGTGACTCAAGTGTTGTGGGCGTTCCAGACGAGGAAGTGATCTCACCTGTTCGTGTGATTCAGAGTCAGACAAGACCAGTGAGTGAGGATGCAGAACTCGACGTGTTGAGTACAGATAGTCTGAGAGAGAGACTGAGGGATGCGATGAACAGAATCAGTGAACTTGAGAATGCCAAGGCAGAGCTCAGTGTGCGTGTATGTGAGCTGGAAGGTGTCGTTGTGTGTGACGACAAGTCGACGAGTGTGGGTGAGAGTTTGTCAAAGGAGGTTGAAGAGGCTGTCGCCTTATCGAAACACAATGAGGATCTGAAGAGAGAGGTGGACTTGTTGCGAAACAGTGTATCAGAACGCACGACACTGTTGGACGATGTGTGCGTGGAGATGAATGAGATTAGAGGATCACTGGGCTCCCTGTTGAGTCAGGTGAGAGATTTGCGTGCAGCACATACGGAAGCGAACGCCGATCGAGCCGACATGGCGAACAAACTGATTGAATATGAACGGGCTGCAGTTTGCTTGGATTCAGCTGCCGATGAACCGTCGAAACCTTCACTATCCGAATATAACGCATTGGACGAGATGTGTAGAGATTTGCAGCGTGCACTGGACACACGATCATCGGAGTTGGAGACAGTAGTTGAGAAAATGAGAGGATGTGAATCAGTGAATGCAGCGTTGAGGCGTGAGTGTGAGTTGTTGAAGCATCGTGTAGAGAAGTACACAAGGGTGACGACTGATCTGGAGAATGATGTGAGTCGAGCGAAGGCACTTCTGCCAGTAGTTGTGAATGAGCTGAGAGACTTGCGCACCGACTATGCAGATTGGTGTAGAGAACACGAAGAACGAGTTGGTGAGTGCATTGAAGCTGTTGGGACAGCACTATCAGCATCAGTTCCTGCATCATCGTCATCGGATGATGTTGGTGGTGGTGTGGTTGAACGTGTGGACCGTGATTGTGGAACGAGTGATTGGCCAGAGGAGTTGTTGGATGCTTCTGTGAGCGAAATGAGAAGACTGTGCGATTCGAACCGTGAGCTGTCAGAGGATCTGTGTAAGTACCGAGAATTGTGTGATAAACAAGCGTCGGAGATATCATCGATGCAGATAGCTTTGCGTGAAGCAGTTGAGCAAGCGTCATCGTCACACAATGAACTGGAGGCTTCTAGACAGGAGAAAGTGAGCGAGCTGTCAGAGTTGGAGAGACGACTGGCTGTTTCGAGAGAGGAGTGTTGTGCATTACAGGATGAAGTGAACCGACTTGAGAAGTCGATAGAAGAGAATTGTAAGACAGCGGTTGCAATAGCCAGTCGAGACTGGGAGTTGCACATAGAGCAAGTGACGAGTGAACGTGACACTGCGCTTAGAGAGTTGGAGGAACTACGTGGAAGACTGGATGCAGCAGAGAGTGTGAAGATTCGAGGTGTTGAAGAAGCAGAAGCACAAGCAGAAGCTGGAACAGTAGCAGGCGAAGAAGCGGTGAGGAGAGTGATGACAAGCGATGTGAGAACTGAGAAAGTCATCGAGTGTGTCATTGAACATGATGTTGCCTTGTCGTCAGGATTGACACGTGACTGGAGAGAGACTGTGAGCGTGGGAGTTGGTCATGATGTTGACGACGACGACGAGTTGATTGGCGGAACGGTAGTTGACGGTTGGAGCGACTACAAGTTGGAGTGGAGCGCTACTGGTGATGAGGACAAGTGGCCGGCGAGTGTACCGAGTAGTGTTGTATTTGTGGATGCAGGCACTCAGGTGGTGGTTAGTGAGTTCCCGTTGATCAGTGGTGATGAGAGTTTGTCAAAATCAGAGTCAGGTGTTGTTGGTGTGGTGGATGATGGTGTAGATGCGACTGGTGTTGTTGAAATGGAGGCGGTGGCTTCGGTGTCGGCGGCGGCGGCGGCGGCGTCAGAGGAGGAATCGCGTAAGTCGATGGACGAGCTACGTGCAGAGTTGGCCTTCTGCTATGACCAGATAGCGACGCTATCGAGATGTGTGGAGGAGAGCGGTGACTCGTTGAGAGATGTGCGTCATTTGTTGAGTGTGAAGGAGAGAGAGGTAGCTGAACTGGAGGAGGAGAAGCGTCGTTTGTCGATGGAGGTGAGTGAGGGTCATGAGACACTGTGTGCAGAACGACGCGATTTGGAGATGCTTCGTGCGAATGTTTCTGCGTTGGAGAAGGAGATGGAGGTGATGACGAGGCGGCGACGGGATATTGAGAGTGGTGTATCAGATGGTGTTGTTGGAGAGGAAGTGTGTGTGCAAACGGAGATGGAGGATGTCTTCGACTTGGTGTCGAAGCTTCAGCTGGAAGTGTCTCGTCTGCGTAGTGAACAATTGACGATGTCCATAGCTCTCGAGCTTTCCCAGTGTGAGTTGGACAGGAAACGTGATGAAGTGCAGAAGTTGGAATCACGCGTTGCGGCGGTGGAGGCGAGTCGATCCATACCTTGTGAAGGTTTGACGAGAACGCCTGATGTGACTGTTGATGAGTTGACGCGAGTCGACTATCCAGTTGAAGTGGAAGCAGCTGTTTTGTCTGGTCTTCCGGATAGGGCGTTAGTAGAGACTGTCGTGTGTGACACAGTAGGAGACATTGTTCCGGATCGACTTCAGCCACAGGCTAGTGACTCAAGTGTTGTGGGCGTTCCAGACGAGGAAGTGATCTCACCTGTTCGTGTGATTCAGAGTCAGACAAGACCAGTGAGTGAGGATGCAGAACTCGACGTGTTGAGTACAGACAGTCTGAGAGAGAGACTGAGGGATGCGATGAACAGAATCAGTGAACTTGAGAATGCCAAGGCAGAGCTCAGTGTGCGTGTATGTGAGCTGGAAGGTGTCGTTGTGTGTGACGACAAGTCGACGAGTGTGGGTGAGAGTTTGTCAAAGGAGGTTGAAGAGGCTGTCGCCTTATCGAAACACAATGAGGATCTGAAGAGAGAGGTGGACTTGTTGCGAAACAGTGTATCAGAACGCACGACACTGTTGGACGATGTGTGCGTGGAGATGAATGAGATTAGAGGATCACTGGGCTCCCTGTTGAGTCAGGTGAGAGATTTGCGTGCAGCACATACGGAAGCGAACGCCGATCGAGCCGACATGGCGAACAAACTGATTGAATATGAACGGGCTGCAGTTTGCTTGGATTCAGCTGCCGATGAACCGTCGAAACCCTCACTATCCGAATATAACGCATTGGACGAGATGTGTAGAGATTTGCAGCGTGCACTGGACACACGATCATCGGAGTTGGAGACAGTAGTTGAGAAAATGAGAGGATGTGAATCAGTGAATGCAGCGTTGACGCGTGAGTGTGAGTTGTTGAAGCATCGTGTAGAGAAGTACACAAGGGTGACGACTGATCTGGAGAATGATGTGAGTCGAGCGAAGGCACTTCTGCCAGTAGTTGTGAATGAGCTGAGAGACTTGCGCACCGACTATGCAGATTGGTGTAGAGAACACGAAGAACGAGTTGGTGAGTGCATTGAAGCTGTTGGGACAGCACTATCAGCATCAGTTCCTGCATCATCGTCATCGGATGATGTTGGTGGTGGTGTGGTTGAACGTGTGGACCGTGATTGTGGAACGAGTGATTGGCCAGAGGAGTTGTTGGATGCTTCTGTGAGCGAAATGAGAAGACTGTGCGATTCGAACCGTGAGCTGTCAGAGGATCTGTGTAAGTACCGAGAATTGTGTGATAAACAAGCGTCGGAGATATCATCGATGCAGATAGCTTTGCGTGAAGCAGTTGAGCAAGCGTCATCGTCACACAATGAACTCGAGGCTTCTAGACAGGAGAAAGTGAGCGAGCTGTCAGAGTTGGAGAGACGACTGGCTGTTTCGAGAGAGGAGTGTTGTGCATTACAGGATGAAGTGAACCGACTTGAGAAGTCGATAGAAGAGAATTGTAAGACAGCGGTTGCAATAGCCAGTCGAGACTGGGAGTTGCACATAGAGCAAGTGACGAGTGAACGTGACACTGCGCTTAGAGAGTTGGAGGAACTACGTGGAAGACTGGATGCAGCAGAGAGTGTGAAGATTCGAGGTGTTGAAGAAGCAGAAGCACAAGCAGAAGCTGGAACAGTAGCAGGCGAAGAAGCGGTGAGGAGAGTGATGACAAGCGATGTGAGAACTGAGAAAGTCATCGAGTGTGTCATTGAACATGATGTTGCCTTGTCGTCAGGATTGACACGTGACTGGAGAGAGACTGTGAGCGTGGGAGTTGGTCATGATGTTGACGACGACGACGAGTTGATTGGCGGAACGGTAGTTGACGGTTGGAGCGACTACAAGTTGGAGTGGAGCGCTACTGGTGATGAGGACAAGTGGCCGGCGAGTGTACCGAGTAGTGTTGTATTTGTGGATGCAGGCACTCAGGTGGTGGTTAGTGAGTTCCCGTTGATCAGTGGTGATGAGAGTTTGTCAAAATCAGAGTCAGGTGTTGTTGGTGTGGTGGATGATGGTGTAGATGCGACTGGTGTTGTTGAAATGGAGGCGGTGGCTTCGGTGTCGGCGGCGGCGGCGGCGGCGTCAGAGGAGGAATCGCGTAAGTCGATGGACGAGCTACGTGCAGAGTTGGCCTTCTGCTATGACCAGATAGCGACGCTATCGAGATGTGTGGAGGAGAGCGGTGACTCGTTGAGAGATGTGCGTCATTTGTTGAGTGTGAAGGAGAGAGAGGTAGCTGAACTGGAGGAGGAGAAGCGTCGTTTGTCGGTGGAGGTGAGTGAGGGTCATGAGACACTGTGTGCAGAACGACGCGATTTGGAGATGCTTCGTGCGAATGTTTCTGCGTTGGAGAAGGAGATGGAGGTGATGACGAGGCGGCGACGGGATATTGAGAGTGGTGTATCAGATGGTGTTGTTGGAGAGGAAGTGTGTGTGCAAACGGAGATGGAGGATGTCTTCGACTTGGTGTCGAAGCTTCAGCTGGAAGTGTCTCGTCTGCGTAGTGAACAATTGACGATGTCCATAGCTCTCGAGCTTTCCCAGTGTGAGTTGGACAGGAAACGTGATGAAGTGCAGAAGTTGGAATCACGCGTTGCGGCGGTGGAGGCGAGTCGATCCATACCTTGTGAAGGTTTGACGAGAACGCCTGATGTGACTGTTGATGAGTTGACGCGAGTCGACTATCCAGTTGAAGTGGAAGCAGCTGTTTTGTCTGGTCTTCCGGATAGGGCGTTAGTAGAGACTGTCGTGTGTGACACAGTAGGAGACATTGTTCCGGATCGACTTCAGCCACAGGCTAGTGACTCAAGTGTTGTGGGCGTTCCAGACGAGGAAGTGATCTCACCTGTTCGTGTGATTCAGAGTCAGACAAGACCAGTGAGTGAGGATGCAGAACTCGACGTGTTGAGTACAGACAGTCTGAGAGAGAGACTGAGGGATGCGATGAACAGAATCAGTGAACTTGAGAATGCCAAGGCAGAGCTCAGTGTGCGTGTATGTGAGCTGGAAGGTGTCGTTGTGTGTGACGACAAGTCGACGAGTGTGGGTGAGAGTTTGTCAAAGGAGGTTGAAGAGGCTGTCGCCTTATCGAAACACAATGAGGATCTGAAGAGAGAGGTGGACTTGTTGCGAAACAGTGTATCAGAACGCACGACACTGTTGGACGATGTGTGCGTGGAGATGAATGAGATTAGAGGATCACTGGGCTCCCTGTTGAGTCAGGTGAGAGATTTGCGTGCAGCACATACGGAAGCGAACGCCGATCGAGCCGACATGGCGAACAAACTGATTGAATATGAACGGGCTGCAGTTTGCTTGGATTCAGCTGCCGATGAACCGTCGAAACCTCACTATCCGAATATAACGCATTGGACGAGATGTGTAGAGATTTGCAGCGTGCACTGGACACACGATCATCGGAGTTGGAGACAGTAGTTGAGAAAATGAGAGGATGTGAATCAGTGAATGCAGCGTTGACGCGTGAGTGTGAGTTGTTGAAGCATCGTGTAGAGAAGTACACAAGGGTGACGACTGATCTGGAGAATGATGTGAGTCGAGCGAAGGCACTTCTGCCAGTAGTTGTGAATGAGCTGAGAGACTTGCGCACCGACTATGCAGATTGGTGTAGAGAACACGAAGAACGAGTTGGTGAGTGCATTGAAGCTGTTGGGACAGCACTATCAGCATCAGTTCCTGCATCATCGTCATCGGATGATGTTGGTGGTGGTGTGGTTGAACGTGTGGACCGTGATTGTGGAACGAGTGATTGGCCAGAGGAGTTGTTGGATGCTTCTGTGAGCGAAATGAGAAGACTGTGCGATTCGAACCGTGAGCTGTCAGAGGATCTGTGTAAGTACCGAGAATTGTGTGATAAACAAGCGTCGGAGATATCATCGATGCAGATAGCTTTGCGTGAAGCAGTTGAGCAAGCGTCATCGTCACACAATGAACTCGAGGCTTCTAGACAGGAGAAAGTGAGCGAGCTGTCAGAGTTGGAGAGACGACTGGCTGTTTCGAGAGAGGAGTGTTGTGCATTACAGGATGAAGTGAACCGACTTGAGAAGTCGATAGAAGAGAATTGTAAGACAGCGGTTGCAATAGCCAGTCGAGACTGGGAGTTGCACATAGAGCAAGTGACGAGTGAACGTGACACTGCGCTTAGAGAGTTGGAGGAACTACGTGGAAGACTGGATGCAGCAGAGAGTGTGAAGATTCGAGGTGTTGAAGAAGCAGAAGCACAAGCAGAAGCTGGAACAGTAGCAGGCGAAGAAGCGGTGAGGAGAGTGATGACAAGCGATGTGAGAACTGAGAAAGTCATCGAGTGTGTCATTGAACATGATGTTGCCTTGTCGTCAGGATTGACACGTGACTGGAGAGAGACTGTGAGCGTGGGAGTTGGTCATGATGTTGACGACGACGACGAGTTGATTGGCGGAACGGTAGTTGACGGTTGGAGCGACTACAAGTTGGAGTGGAGCGCTACTGGTGATGAGGACAAGTGGCCGGCGAGTGTACCGAGTAGTGTTGTATTTGTGGATGCAGGCACTCAGGTGGTGGTTAGTGAGTTCCCGTTGATCAGTGGTGATGAGAGTTTGTCAAAATCAGAGTCAGGTGTTGTTGGTGTGGTGGATGATGGTGTAGATGCGACTGGTGTTGTTGAAATGGAGGCGGTGGCTTCGGTGTCGGCGGCGGCGGCGGCGGCGTCAGAGGAGGAATCGCGTAAGTCGATGGACGAGCTACGTGCAGAGTTGGCCTTCTGCTATGACCAGATAGCGACGCTATCGAGATGTGTGGAGGAGAGCGGTGACTCGTTGAGAGATGTGCGTCATTTGTTGAGTGTGAAGGAGAGAGAGGTAGCTGAACTGGAGGAGGAGAAGCGTCGTTTGTCGGTGGAGGTGAGTGAGGGTCATGAGACACTGTGTGCAGAACGACGCGATTTGGAGATGCTTCGTGCGAATGTTTCTGCGTTGGAGAAGGAGATGGAGGTGATGACGAGGCGGCGACGGGATATTGAGAGTGGTGTATCAGATGGTGTTGTTGGAGAGGAAGTGTGTGTGCAAACGGAGATGGAGGATGTCTTCGACTTGGTGTCGAAGCTTCAGCTGGAAGTGTCTCGTCTGCGTAGTGAACAATTGACGATGTCCATAGCTCTCGAGCTTTCCCAGTGTGAGTTGGACAGGAAACGTGATGAAGTGCAGAAGTTGGAATCACGCGTTGCGGCGGTGGAGGCGAGTCGATCCATACCTTGTGAAGGTTTGACGAGAACGCCTGATGTGACTGTTGATGAGTTGACGCGAGTCGACTATCCAGTTGAAGTGGAAGCAGCTGTTTTGTCTGGTCTTCCGGATAGGGCGTTAGTAGAGACTGTCGTGTGTGACACAGTAGGAGACATTGTTCCGGATCGACTTCAGCCACAGGCTAGTGACTCAAGTGTTGTGGGCGTTCCAGACGAGGAAGTGATCTCACCTGTTCGTGTGATTCAGAGTCAGACAAGACCAGTGAGTGAGGATGCAGAACTCGACGTGTTGAGTACAGACAGTCTGAGAGAGAGACTGAGGGATGCGATGAACAGAATCAGTGAACTTGAGAATGCCAAGGCAGAGCTCAGTGTGCGTGTATGTGAGCTGGAAGGTGTCGTTGTGTGTGACGACAAGTCGACGAGTGTGGGTGAGAGTTTGTCAAAGGAGGTTGAAGAGGCTGTCGCCTTATCGAAACACAATGAGGATCTGAAGAGAGAGGTGGACTTGTTGCGAAACAGTGTATCAGAACGCACGACACTGTTGGACGATGTGTGCGTGGAGATGAATGAGATTAGAGGATCACTGGGCTCCCTGTTGAGTCAGGTGAGAGATTTGCGTGCAGCACATACGGAAGCGAACGCCGATCGAGCCGACATGGCGAACAAACTGATTGAATATGAACGGGCTGCAGTTTGCTTGGATTCAGCTGCCGATGAACCGTCGAAACCCTCACTATCCGAATATAACGCATTGGACGAGATGTGTAGAGATTTGCAGCGTGCACTGGACACACGATCATCGGAGTTGGAGACAGTAGTTGAGAAAATGAGAGGATGTGAATCAGTGAATGCAGCGTTGACGCGTGAGTGTGAGTTGTTGAAGCATCGTGTAGAGAAGTACACAAGGGTGACGACTGATCTGGAGAATGATGTGAGTCGAGCGAAGGCACTTCTGCCAGTAGTTGTGAATGAGCTGAGAGACTTGCGCACCGACTATGCAGATTGGTGTAGAGAACACGAAGAACGAGTTGGTGAGTGCATTGAAGCTGTTGGGACAGCACTATCAGCATCAGTTCCTGCATCATCGTCATCGGATGATGTTGGTGGTGGTGTGGTTGAACGTGTGGACCGTGATTGTGGAACGAGTGATTGGCCAGAGGAGTTGTTGGATGCTTCTGTGAGCGAAATGAGAAGACTGTGCGATTCGAACCGTGAGCTGTCAGAGGATCTGTGTAAGTACCGAGAATTGTGTGATAAACAAGCGTCGGAGATATCATCGATGCAGATAGCTTTGCGTGAAGCAGTTGAGCAAGCGTCATCGTCACACAATGAACTCGAGGCTTCTAGACAGGAGAAAGTGAGCGAGCTGTCAGAGTTGGAGAGACGACTGGCTGTTTCGAGAGAGGAGTGTTGTGCATTACAGGATGAAGTGAACCGACTTGAGAAGTCGATAGAAGAGAATTGTAAGACAGCGGTTGCAATAGCCAGTCGAGACTGGGAGTTGCACATAGAGCAAGTGACGAGTGAACGTGACACTGCGCTTAGAGAGTTGGAGGAACTACGTGGAAGACTGGATGCAGCAGAGAGTGTGAAGATTCGAGGTGTTGAAGAAGCAGAAGCACAAGCAGAAGCTGGAACAGTAGCAGGCGAAGAAGCGGTGAGGAGAGTGATGACAAGCGATGTGAGAACTGAGAAAGTCATCGAGTGTGTCATTGAACATGATGTTGCCTTGTCGTCAGGATTGACACGTGACTGGAGAGAGACTGTGAGCGTGGGAGTTGGTCATGATGTTGACGACGACGACGAGTTGATTGGCGGAACGGTAGTTGACGGTTGGAGCGACTACAAGTTGGAGTGGAGCGCTACTGGTGATGAGGACAAGTGGCCGGCGAGTGTACCGAGTAGTGTTGTATTTGTGGATGCAGGCACTCAGGTGGTGGTTAGTGAGTTCCCGTTGATCAGTGGTGATGAGAGTTTGTCAAAATCAGAGTCAGGTGTTGTTGGTGTGGTGGATGATGGTGTAGATGCGACTGGTGTTGTTGAAATGGAGGCGGTGGCTTCGGTGTCGGCGGCGGCGGCGGCGGCGTCAGAGGAGGAATCGCGTAAGTCGATGGACGAGCTACGTGCAGAGTTGGCCTTCTGCTATGACCAGATAGCGACGCTATCGAGATGTGTGGAGGAGAGCGGTGACTCGTTGAGAGATGTGCGTCATTTGTTGAGTGTGAAGGAGAGAGAGGTAGCTGAACTGGAGGAGGAGAAGCGTCGTTTGTCGGTGGAGGTGAGTGAGGGTCATGAGACACTGTGTGCAGAACGACGCGATTTGGAGATGCTTCGTGCGAATGTTTCTGCGTTGGAGAAGGAGATGGAGGTGATGACGAGGCGGCGACGGGATATTGAGAGTGGTGTATCAGATGGTGTTGTTGGAGAGGAAGTGTGTGTGCAAACGGAGATGGAGGATGTCTTCGACTTGGTGTCGAAGCTTCAGCTGGAAGTGTCTCGTCTGCGTAGTGAACAATTGACGATGTCCACAGCTCTCGAGCTTTCCCAGTGTGAGTTGGACAGGAAACGTGATGAAGTGCAGAAGTTGGAATCACGCGTTGCGGCGGTGGAGGCGAGTCGATCCATACCTTGTGAAGGTTTGACGAGAACGCCTGATGTGACTGTTGATGAGTTGACGCGAGTCGACTATCCAGTTGAAGTGGAAGCAGCTGTTTTGTCTGGTCTTCCGGATAGGGCGTTAGTAGAGACTGTCGTGTGTGACACAGTAGGAGACATTGTTCCGGATCGACTTCAGCCACAGGCTAGTGACTCAAGTGTTGTGGGCGTTCCAGACGAGGAAGTGATCTCACCTGTTCGTGTGATTCAGAGTCAGACAAGACCAGTGAGTGAGGATGCAGAACTCGACGTGTTGAGTACAGACAGTCTGAGAGAGAGACTGAGGGATGCGATGAACAGAATCAGTGAACTTGAGAATGCCAAGGCAGAGCTCAGTGTGCGTGTATGTGAGCTGGAAGGTGTCGTTGTGTGTGACGACAAGTCGACGAGTGTGGGTGAGAGTTTGTCAAAGGAGGTTGAAGAGGCTGTCGCCTTATCGAAACACAATGAGGATCTGAAGAGAGAGGTGGACTTGTTGCGAAACAGTGTATCAGAACGCACGACACTGTTGGACGATGTGTGCGTGGAGATGAATGAGATTAGAGGATCACTGGGCTCCCTGTTGAGTCAGGTGAGAGATTTGCGTGCAGCACATACGGAAGCGAACGCCGATCGAGCCGACATGGCGAACAAACTGATTGAATATGAACGGGCTGCAGTTTGCTTGGATTCAGCTGCCGATGAACCGTCGAAACCTTCACTATCCGAATATAACGCATTGGACGAGATGTGTAGAGATTTGCAGCGTGCACTGGACACACGATCATCGGAGTTGGAGACAGTAGTTGAGAAAATGAGAGGATGTGAATCAGTGAATGCAGCGTTGACGCGTGAGTGTGAGTTGTTGAAGCATCGTGTAGAGAAGTACACAAGGGTGACGACTGATCTGGAGAATGATGTGAGTCGAGCGAAGGCACTTCTGCCAGTAGTTGTGAATGAGCTGAGAGACTTGCGCACCGACTATGCAGATTGGTGTAGAGAACACGAAGAACGAGTTGGTGAGTGCATTGAAGCTGTTGGGACAGCACTATCAGCATCAGTTCCTGCATCATCGTCATCGGATGATGTTGGTGGTGGTGTGGTTGAACGTGTGGACCGTGATTGTGGAACGAGTGATTGGCCAGAGGAGTTGTTGGATGCTTCTGTGAGCGAAATGAGAAGACTGTGCGATTCGAACCGTGAGCTGTCAGAGGATCTGTGTAAGTACCGAGAATTGTGTGATAAACAAGCGTCGGAGATATCATCGATGCAGATAGCTTTGCGTGAAGCAGTTGAGCAAGCGTCATCGTCACACAATGAACTCGAGGCTTCTAGACAGGAGAAAGTGAGCGAGCTGTCAGAGTTGGAGAGACGACTGGCTGTTTCGAGAGAGGAGTGTTGTGCATTACAGGATGAAGTGAACCGACTTGAGAAGTCGATAGAAGAGAATTGTAAGACAGCGGTTGCAATAGCCAGTCGAGACTGGGAGTTGCACATAGAGCAAGTGACGAGTGAACGTGACACTGCGCTTAGAGAGTTGGAGGAACTACGTGGAAGACTGGATGCAGCAGAGAGTGTGAAGATTCGAGGTGTTGAAGAAGCAGAAGCACAAGCAGAAGCTGGAACAGTAGCAGGCGAAGAAGCGGTGAGGAGAGTGATGACAAGCGATATGGGGACTCCGGTGTTCGGCTACTCGACACATGATAAATCACTTTGTTCTGGTCTTACGCCGGTTAATTTTGATTCAATGAATATTGGCGTTTCAGGTGAAGCCCTCGTGTGTTCAGCCTCTATGGAATTTCCGCGTTTTTCTGTTTCTTTGCCATCACTTTCTCCCTCTGGTTCACGTTTTGTTTCATCCCCGTCTCAGTTACCCTTTTCTGTTATTCAACCTCGTGAACCTGATCAATTGTTTACATCTGGTCTTGATTCTGAACTTTCTCATTTACGTCGTCAATTTTCTAAAACTTCAATGTCTTTAATGTATGCCGTTGATTTGGTTGATTATTGTTTCAATCTCTTGTTGTTATTTACTCGTCTATTGACTGAAATCCTGCACAACTCATCGTCTTCCATTCTAGACAGTCATATGTCTTCCAATGTAATAAACAGTTTGAAAAATATTCTATCCATTTCAAATTCATCTTATTTTACTGAATATTTTGGTGATTATACTCAGATTTTATCAGAATTTACAAATTTATGTGATCTCATCACATCGAATCATCAATCCACATGTTCAATTTGTCATCAAATCATTGTGAACAACGATTCGTTGATTTTATCTAGTTTATGCGTGAATTGTCTGACAGATTTAGAAGGTTTAAATTATGCCAGTTTTAGAGAATTTATCAATTTGAGTAAGACGACTCAATATCCTAATGTCGCGTCTACTGATTCTTTTGATATACCCTCTGAACATCCTACAACTAACGATATGAATGATGAAATAAGTGAAGCTATCAGACAGTCACCTACTTACCTAGCTGTACCTATCAATGCCGAGGATGAGATTCGTGATACTACTCATGAAACTACTATCACTACTATTCCAAGTGAATTACTTCATACTATCCAAGAACTTGAGCATAAACTTTTAATCGCCGAATCAGAAAGAAATCGTTTAAATCAATTAATCGATTCATTATCAGCGTCAACGTCTTCACCTCAAGACACTGATGAATACAAACAATTACAACTTAACGATTCAAACATCAATAATACAAATAATAATAAGCATTTAAAATTATTTATTCATGAAGTACTTGAAGAAATTTATAAATATTTAAAAGGATCCATAGAAAAGTCATCCTCGTCTTCATCGCCTTCAATATCTTTCATTGAATCTATTCAAAAATTAATTTGTTTAAATCGTCAAGTGAATGATTACATTGACCTTGAAAGCATTTCCCGCCGTTTTGAAAATATAGAACAATCATTATTATCGAAGAGTTTAAAACAAAAAGACAATGGTGATGATATCTTGGAGATGCAAAAACGATTGGAACAAATGAAGTCAGATTATGAAAAGCTATGTTTTGAAAATATTTATTTAACCAAAAAAATCAATACACTATTATCAATTGATAATGAAGATAAATTAGATATTGGAAGAAGTATATTGCATTGTACAATAGAACAATTGAAACAATTGAATACAATGATCAGTAAATCAATAATTGATCGAAGTTGTTATCCACTTGATAGTATAGATGATACATTCAAAACATTGGATAATATTCATTTGACAAATAATTTAATGATGACATTAAATACCAGGGCATATAGATCAGAAATCGTTCAATGTTATCAATGTGTTAAACAGTTAATTGAAGAAAATTTAAAATTAAAGACTTTACAAGAATCAAAGCTACCCTCTCCATCAGATGTGGATGATGCTGATGATGGCGATACGCTACCGGCTTATCAACTTGATGACAATCCTCATGAACAATTCTCTACCCTGAAGACTTCCTTGTCAACCACTATGAATTGCTTGTTGAATCGTGTAGACGAATTAACTCAAAGAATTGATGTACTACAATTGAGAATTGAAAAATCTTCAAAACAACGTCAAGTTGACCGTCTTGAACAGCCTGAAGAGGACATGAATAACCGAATGTTAAAGGATGAATTAACTGCATTAAGAAGACGAGACATTGAATGGGAAGTTAACATTAATACCCTTTACAATTGTTTATCACAAGTGATCGATAAAGACAAAAGCATGGAGAAGACGATGAAGGATGGAGGAGTAAAACAGCAGCCCCAGGAGGCGGAAGTGGAGAACAATGTTATGAAAGAAGACGAAAAGTCCACAAAACAGTCTATTCATCATCCAAATGAAATATTACCACAATTTAATCAATACATCAATACTATACAAACACAAATGTCTAGAATAGCCAATCTTGAAAATCAATACAATGAACTTAATGCACAATTGAATCAATTATCCGAGGAATATGAACAAGCACGTTGTGAAGTTGAACAACTACAGACAACCGCGAATCAACAAACAAATGAAGCTGATAGATATACTAATATGTTAGATTATTTAGTAGCTAAAATTATTGATCTTTCAAGTGAATTACCTGATCCCATTTCATCTCTTGATGATGATGATGATGATGATAATCAGGATCATGATCATGATGACGGTAATCAGGATCAGGATCATCATGGATTAGATGTTATGCGCATTCGAAAATCTTCATCTAGTACAGATATTGAACTTATATTGATAAGAATTAAAAAATACCTTTGTGAGTATAAATCAATACAAGAAAGGCTGAGACAAGTTGAAGAAGAGAAGGCCGTGCTCATCAGTCAATTAGCAAAACAATATGACCAACCAGAAGTCGAAGAAGTAGTGGAAGAAAAGATAGAGATGAGTAAAGAAGATGTTGTTATCCATGAAGTACCCACACCTCTGCCTGTCTTTTTCAAAGAGAAACCTGTAGAAAAGGCTGAAACTGTCGGTACTGAATATCTTCAAATGATGTCATATGCTATGTCACCACCCCAACCACCTTCGTCTCCATCCTCTTCTCATAAAGATACTAAACCAGTTATCGATCAATTGTCTACTATAAAAGATGATATCACCCTATTAAAGAGTGAAACGATCAATATGATCGAAATTATGAATCAAAAACTTGAAAATACCATTGAATACACCTCAAAGAAAATATCTACTCATGTTGTTCTAGACCGCCAGCAAACATCTTCACCATCGTCACCTTTAGCGAAAAAATCACAGATATTATTCAACTTTACAAAAGACTTAACCACTACAGTGGCACTGGAACCGTCCATAAATAATCTCGTGGAAAGTCCGCTAGAAGTCATCTCAGAAGATGATCTCACCGAATCCCTGAATGACCTACTCAACAGGATAAAAGATACTTTAAAAGAGAGAACGTTAGATGGTGATATACATATTATTGATTCAAAACTTATGCACAACTACGTACTACTCATCAATAAATTAAGTAGTATGCTTCACCTTCCATATGATGATAATCTTTCAACATCCAATGAATCAGATCGATCCAATGCACAAATTGAAGAAATTCTCAATCGCCTACCAAATCTTTTAACGGATAAAATGAATGAATTATGCGAATATATTGAACAATTACTTATCGATTTAACTGACATTGAAGAAGCCGATCAATATTCTATAAAAGTCAACCAATTTTCAAATTATCTTATCACTAATTCATTAGAGTCTATAAAGCTTCCTGAAAGATTTATCCAACTGTATAAACAGCTTCTTCATCAGTCTGTATCAAAGACACTTGTCGATGTTTACTCCACTGGTAGTGGTAGTGGTGGCCAATTGGAGACTGCAGAAGAAGAAGACGTATCAAGAATTGAATTGGCTTCAATTCTGAGAAATATAATAAAGAGTTGTACAATCCATGAGAATAATTATCGACTATTACAAGTACAGTTATCGCAAGATGCTGCGGTATCATCACTCACTACTACAACTGATACACTCGATAATGATGAAATCGATACTGATCTATTCACTTTATCATTCAATGAATTAATTGACCTTCTATCACAGAAATGGTTACAATTTGATAATCGATTAAAAGAATTTATTGATTATATTAGAGAAGTGATCGCTAAACGAATCGATAATAAACCTCAACAAGAACAATTCATGGATTCAAGTGTTAAAAGAATAACAAAACATCATCATCAATCGATTTACAAAAGATATCGATCAAATTCATTTTCATACTCCCCCAGATTATCTTGTAATAATAATAAGCTGGTATCAATTAAGAATAAGAATAAATCAATGTTAACTTTGTCAATATCCACATCAGCAACCAGCTCATTACAGTATACATCATTATTAGAATTATTAACAGTTCTCGAATTATATACTCCAGCGTTTTTAATGTATATTGAACCAATGAAAGAGATGCGTTTAGCGTATCATTTAAGAATGGATACTTTGAAGTGGGGATTACATCAATTGAGGAGATATTTAATGCGCCTTACACCATCAACACCCTCAACAACAGCAACAACGATAACCACGACGACGACAACAACGTACACCGAAGAATTAAACACATATTTACAACGCATAAATACTTATTTACATGTAAAAGAATTATACACTAAAAAGGTGTTGAATGATCTACGGTCAGAGTTAATATCATTGAATAGACAAAAGCATAAATTATTGAAAAGAAAAGTGTCAAATGTCACGACAACAACAACAACAACAATGTCGACGACAAAAACAGTCGGTCTTCTGCCTATTCCATCAACATCTTCATCTACAACAAGTATTCTACCGACTGTTATCTATGAAGATGAAGAAGTTTTACAGGAGAAGTTGATTTATACAAAAGACAGGCTGAAACAAACTATACTTATTTATAAATGTATACAAGAATTGCTAAATTATCAATCCGATTATTATTATAATTATTATTATCACTATAATATAAAATCGATCGATAATGCTCAGGAGGTAACTGTTGATGATGATAATCATCGAGGTAGACGACGACTGAGTGGCACAAGGAGTACTCTTTGTCGTAGTCAATTATCAAATTACGCAAGCACAGATTATTGGGAAGGTGAGACTGATGATACTTACGACCAGAATCGTAATCTAAATCAATCACAAACTACTCTATTATATAATTATGATCCTGATGATATGAATCTATTGTATATTGGTAGTAGTAGTGGTAATAACGATCAGGAGCATCGTGATCCACATAATGAACTGGAATATGCTCTACGCCTGCTGCATATACGTGATACTGAGCTGTTGTATCTCATATCCCTTCAACATAAGAATAATAACACCGATACAGGATACAATAATCTAAAATTCAATCTGTCAACATCATCACGGTTGACCTCCCCCACTGCTGCTGTTCCTGCTGTTGCTTCTACTACTACTAACAATGATATCAGTAGTAGAGGTAGTAGTAGTCAATGGCTTAAAGAGAAATTGGATAAATTTATGCATTGGAATAATGTACAACCGATTGATGTGCATAGTATACCAATTCATCGTATTGAATTTAGTCAGCGTCAACACCTTCAGCAACAATCACAACAACAAATAATCGATATGATGACTACTACACCTAATCTTATGATGAAAAGTCATTTATCTAGTACAGATGATGAAAGATCAACTCCACTGTTTACAAGTCAATCATTTGATCATATGACGTATTATTATGAAGACGAAACAGATGTGAGTACTGCTCTTTCTTTTCATTATTTTCTATTATGCTTGATTTGCGCACCCATCACCAAGGTTTGAAATCATGACCTTCCGGTTATAAGGCCAGCCAGCTTGTTTGTATACTATTGAACCACTAAGACCCATGGCATCGTCGGTGGCATAGCGGTTAGGACGCTCACCGACCATGCACATGGTCCCGGTGTTCGATCCCCGACCGACGAGGCACTCCTTTACCTCGCTAAGCCAGAACTAATGCTGGTAAAGAGGAAAGGTTAGGCATGAGGCAGGCTAGCAACCCCATCCTGTAAAAATAATCACCACCGCGACAGAAACTTCAAGCCACTAGCTTAAAGGTCCCCTATGTTCCACTGGGGAAGGGGAAGGAAAACAGACTGGGACCCCCCGATTCAATGGCCAGTGCATAAATTCCAACTTCTACCAATTCATGATGCATTTAGCGCGACTGGCACCAACCAAATGGTCATCGGTGGGTGGGAAATCCATCCTCACACATGACATCTGGATGAACCTCACTGCTCGGTCACGACTTCTCACTAGAACTGACTCCAGGAAACTCCAACCTAGAGCAAGTCACTAGCGAGCATCAGATTAATTTTCTATAGTTTGGTTTGTAAGGTTTAGTTATTTTTTTATGAGTTGATCATGGATGGATATCAGAGGTAGAGAACACTATTGAAAACCTGGACAGCCAGCTGTTTCATCAGTCTGTTTTGGGAATCATCGGCAGTACGTACACCCCCCCCCAACTCAGGACCTTCCAGTTGCAAGGCAAGCTAGCTCATATACCATTGAACCACTAGGACCCCATTCGGTTCAATGGCCAGCCCATGAATTCTAACTTTTACCAATTCATCCTGGATCCGAACCCCTTGTTGTGGGTGCGTACTGCCGATGATCCCCAAAATAGTGAGATGAAACAGCTGGCTGTCCATTACTCCCTGTGGCTGGTTTTCAATGGTGATCTCTAACTCCTGATATCAATCCGTAGTCAAACTCGTAAAAATAAAACTAACCCTTACAAAAACCAACTATAGAAAATCATAGGAATTCTCTGATATCCCCTAACGTTTGTTGTCCACGTGGTGGGTGACCCACATACACGCACACGCACAAGCTTTTATTTTGTCCTTTCATGTAACTATCGGATATCCAACATGCTGGTTGACACTCGGGAGTTGCGATTCATGGGCCGTGTTTTTTCGGTCTTCTGAACTTATGTACAGTCCATCGTCATTTGTTTCTGCATATTTGTTGAGTAGGCGATAGATTTGCGACTAGTTCACTCCATCCGATGGAGTTAGTCGTCTCTTATCGTTTCTTACTCATGGATACAAAAGGCGCGTTTGTCATTCGCCTGCCAACTTACTCCATATCTGGGTTAGTAGACGTGATATCCGACTGGCTGTTGACCAGAGGACGTGTATCCTGATCAGCTGTTTGACTATGAGATATGGCCACTGAAAATGGAATACATGAAAAGGCCATTGAGCTGTCCTTATGTGTAGGCGCCTGCGTTCTATCTCCCGTGTTAAGTGGTATTATAAGGTGAACAATATTGAGATGAGGCATCGGTCAAGTGGTGCGTGAGGAGGGCGAATCAATCGACGAGTCGAATGGTCACATGAAACCATGAGAACTTAGCTTCTGCACTTCCCTCCAATGTTTTGTGGATCAGGCTTCTAGTCAAAGGCTCTATAGAAGGCACTGACCCTTTAACACAACCATCTGCTTCGGTTTGAGCTTTCGGGATGGTTGAGCAGTATTCCAGCTCTCACACAAATTATAGGATTTTACTTACCTCTATCTATCAAGGTTTCCGTGTAGCCAGATAGTAGTATCACTAGCTGCCTCTCTTCCTCACATACATACACACAATGAAGTGTAGCTATTGAATGGAAATACAAGTGATTACTGAATTTCATTTAGCTGGAATATTTCCTCATGAGCTGACATCAGTTAGAGAACCATTTGAAAACCACTTACTGGAGTACTGGACAGTTGTTTCCCCCGTCCTGGTTTGAGACCCTTTATCAGTACGCACGCACAGAAAGGATTCGAATCCAGGACCTTATGGTTACAAAGCCAGAGAGCTCATAGACCATTCAGCCACTAGGGCCTGATCCAATGGCCAACCAATGAATTCTAACTTCTGCTAATTCATGAAATGACGCAACTCCTTCGCAATGTCTTCTTCGATGAGTAACTGTCGTCAGCTTCAACCTACTATACCTTACTGGTCACGGCTTCCCGCTGGATAGGGCCTGTCGCTAGTAAGCATCACTGGGTGTACAAGCTCACCTTGTAACCAAAAGGTCCTAGGTTCGAACTCTGTGAGTGGATGAGTGCTGTGAAGGGTTCTAAACTAAGACAAAACAGCTGTCAAGTACTTTCTGTTAGTTTTCCAATGGTTCTCTAACTGATGTCAGCTCATCATTATGAAATCCTCCAACCAATCAAAACAAAAAAACCAATACTTGAGTTTCATTTTCCTTGAATGTGCAAAATTACACTTTACTTTACTTCTCTGTGTTTTTTTAATACTTGATTGTGTCTTTCTATTGTTGTTTGTTTTCCTTTCGTCTTCTTCTTCAAGATATACGAACAACATTTGTACACATTAATCCAGATTGCAATGAATAAATTAGATCAATTGAATAAAAGTTATACAGAACCCAAGAGACAATTATTATTATCCCCAGATCGTGAAGATGAACTCACTGAATTACTCGATAGAATGATTAAATTAATCCCATTAGAAGGTGGTCATGCTAGTCATGTGAATAAGACGGCAGATAGTGAATCAATTTATTCTCAGCTGCTCGGTAAACGTTTAACGACAACAATGGTAGGAGCGGCGGCAACGACTACCACTACCACAATAATGATGACAACCCCAGCTGCTATAACTGCTATCATGACTACAACTACGACGACAATGTCAGCAGGCCCATCGTCAACATCATCCTATTCTCATTATTATAAGCCCATCTCTGGTACCTGTGACTCTTCTGATCTTAGTTTAATGACGAATATGACTTATCCTTATCCAAAACGTGCAGAGAAAGCACCAATTCATGATTTAGTCGATTCTGTGGATCATTTAAAGAATTTACATGAGTTACGCAGTCTAGCTAAATATCTATTAGATCAATATCATATTGTTACAACTGAAGTAAGTGGTTTGTTTTTTTCTTTGTTTGTTTCGTTTCATTCTTCCTTTTTCTCTCTGAATCATTTCAACGTCACTGTCAAACATCGCGCGTATGCGTTTGTGTGTGTGTGTGTGTGTTCGTACCGATCGAGTCTGAAATGTCTTCACCAATTCCATATTAGTTTGTTTATTAGATGTATCACATGATAAGATCTGGCGTGGTATTTTGTGCTCCTGTCCATCCTAAGTAAAATACTATTGCTACATCATCCTGGAGAGAATCAAACACGTCGCCCTAGATGAAAAACTTCGACCGGAACAGGCTAGATTCAGGAGAAACAAGTCATGCATTGATCAAGTTGCAACACTAAAGATCATCACTGAATAAAGCCTGGAATGGCAGTCAGCTCTCCACCTTACTCAACTTCATTGACTTTCAAATGGCCTTCGATAGAACAGCATCGATCGAGAGGTGATTTGGTAACTACTTCGCTACTACCAAGGGGTGCCGCCAACAATTATACATCTCATCCAACAGTTGTACGACAATGCAGCGCATGCCAAGTAATCCACAACGAGAAACTCACGGAATCCTTCGAAGAAGTGAAGACGAGAGTAAAACAAGGTTGGCTGGCTGCCTAAAATCTCCAGTGATTTCTTCAATGATGGAAAATGGGACAGACAGCGGGCAACGAGGAGACAGGCATAAAATGGACCCACATAAAAAACTTGACCGATCTGAATTTTGCCGATGATGATATGTGTCTGATTTCCCATAAACTGGAAGATGTACAAGTGAAAAGCGACAAGTTGGCAGAAGAAGCATTCAGGAAATATAGGGAGGACTTCAGGGGAAAAGAGGTAACAGAGGTGATGAAGATTCCTGGCCAACAGCAACATCAACAATAATAGACAACAATCAGTGTAAATGGAATAAATCTTAAAGAAGCAATCTCCTTCACCTACCTACCTACCTGGGAAACGTCTTTCCAACTACAGGTGGGCGGAACTGATGAGGATATCAAAGCAGCGAGGATCGAGAAAGCAAGGCAAGCTTTCATTACTCTGACCAAGCCTGTGTGGAGATCAGCAACACGCAGCATGAAAAATAGGATCCGGTGTAGTGAGTGGTATAGCTGAACTATTCTCTACATTTATCATCTTATTCGGGTCAACTAATCTATATTTTGCTAGGTTTTCATGCTCGGCTAGTCTGATTGCCCCTGTTCTACTAGTTTGACCTATGTGTTTGACCTGACAATAATCCCAGCAGGGCATTAGATAAACTAAATTGTTTTGTTTTAAAGGCTCCACTGGCAGGATCCTTTAACCGACAAAGCTTGTTTCTAATTGAGTTTGTGGATGGTTTGAATGCCAGTCACTTTTATTCCTGCCCTGTTAAGAATTCTCCGGCGTAAGGCTTCCGAGGTTCATTCCTTGTATGGAATTACTACTGATGATTTAGATTCTCTATTGTTGGTGTTATCATTATCTTGCTCACGTTTGACATGTATGTCGTCATTAATATCACTATTATTATTAGGCGGTTGGTTGAAGGCAATTGGCTGCATTCTTCGGATGTAGCTTACATTCCCTAATCGGCACTTACTACCGAAACCCATTTATTGTGGTCTAAACTCAGAGGATTGATCTTTGCGTGTTCTGCTGTGTTGTATAACTGTCCGACACTTCTTTGACACAAACTCACAGTCATAGAACTCTCTAAGGATAGCAAAAAGACAGTTATTCGTCGTAAGATCTATGGGGCTCTGTTCAACAACGGTAATATCATAATATCATCGTTAACGAGTATTTGTCCTCATTCTGGAATGACTTGGTTAGACTCCACTGGTCACGTGACTTCCCACTAGAATTCCAGTCAACTTTATCCCGGAACCAGTTACTAGTGAGCATCAGACAAATTGAGCAAAGTTCAGACATTCATATCAACAGTGTATGTGGCCAGAGAAGTTACCACCAACTGAGCTATTCGGGCTCTCAATTGGTATCTCCTGTAGGACTTTGATGGATACTTTGACTGAACACTAGGTAATAACTAATTTTTGTTAACAAACATATCGCCACTTATAGTGGGAATTTGTGACCAGTGGGGGGTCGGGTGTGAGGACAAATACTCGCCAGCGATGACATTCTCTGGTGGTTGTGCCGTATGATGAATTTGCAAAAGCTGGAATTCATGGACCGGAGGCTATTGGATAGGGTCCCAGTGGCCTAATGGTCTAAGAGCTCGCCTTGTGACCAGAAGGTCCTGGTTCCAAACCTCAATGGATGTGCACTACTGAAGAGTCCCAAACGATGACGAAACAGTTATTTGTTCAGTACTCCTAGTTGGTCTTCCAATGGTTCTCTAACTGATGTCAGTTCATGATGAAATCCTGAATCCAGTCTAATCCCTTCAAAGCAACACTTGAAGATGTGTATTGTGTTAAATATGATATACGTTAGAGTAGAGCCGGATAGAAATGAGGATCTAATTGAAAAGTAGATATTTCTTACCTTTCAATCATATTGATTCCTAAATTTATTGATTTGTTTATTTTGGAGTTTATCTAATCCGTTTTTTCCCTCTCGGACTCCTATTGTTTCTTGTTTGTTTGTTTTTTTTTTTATCAAAATTAGTTGGAATTACAATCTGATACAAATTGGTGTTTAAGACAACGATTAAGCAATGCCAATAGTCAATTGGATCGTTTAACTGATCTACTGAATAAAAGTAGTCGAACATTTCAATCGATTGATGAACGGCTAACCGCAGAAATACATAAACATTCAACGCTAACAGGTAATTATTACACGTGTATACTATTGCATATTATTTGGTGTTACTTTCATATCTTCCTTATTTTTTTCCTTCACGTTCCCCAGTGGAAAATAGGGGACCGTCAAGCTAGTGACTTGAAGTTTCTTTAGGAGTGGTGATTATTTTTACAGGATGGGTTTCCTAACCTCATGCCCAACCTTTTCCTCTTTACCGGCATTATTTATGGCTTAGCGAGGTAAAGGAGTGCGTCAGGGGCCGGGGATTGAAACCCGAACCATGTGCATGGTTGGCGAGTGTCCTAACCGCTATGCCACAGACCCACATCTTCGTTATTTACGAATATTATTTGACATTGCCTCCCTCCACCCTGTTTTGATTGTTGATTTCATCATTGGATCAAAACACCTCAGTCCCATGTTGGATATACCCGTGGTTGGCGAGCGTTCTACCGCTGGACCACCGACTGACGTTCATATTTTGGTGCTATACTTATTTTTCGTTTGATTTCTTTAATACTTATTTATTTTCTTATAGGATTGCATCATGAGCTGACAGCGGTTAGAGAACCATTGGGAAACCAACTGGGAGTACTGGACAGCCAGTTGTTCCGTCCGACTACTTTGGGACTCTTCAGCAGTACGCCGTGCCCACCACAAGGGTTCGAACCCATGACCTTCTGATTACAAGGCCAGCGAGCTCGTAGACCATACATTCAGCCACTGAGACCCGATCCAATGGCCACCGGTCCATGAATTCCAACTTCTGCCAATTCATGATATGGCGATACCACTTGCGAATGTCACACATCTCGGTGGTGAGTATTTATCCTCACACCTGACCACCTGTCGTGACTAGTAGGGTATAGCAGTTTGGGTGTAAGAACAAATACTCGCCACCGATGACATTCGCAAGTGGTCGCGCCATATCATGAACTAGCAGAAGTTGGATTCATTGGCTGGCCGTGTAACCAGAAGGTCCTGGTTTCGAACCCTGTCGGTAGGTGCTTAGTGGTGAAGAGTCCCAAATTAGTAGGACGAAACAGCTAACTGTCCAGTACTCCCTGTGGCTGGTTTTCCAATGGTTCTCTAACCGCTGTCAGCTCATCATAATGAAATCCTGTAACCAATCAATCAAATCTTTACAAACTAATACTTGAAAAACTTATTGATTTGTTTGTTTTCCCTCTATTTTTCTGTGTGTTTGTGTGATTGTGTGATTTAGAACAATGTGATGCAGCACGTCGAGATACACGTCGAGTTGTACATACTTTAAGTGAAATCAGTCAACGGCATAAACCGACAAGTGGTCAACGGTTAAATTTTGTTCCAGATTCTTCAGAATATTTGGTAAGTTAGTTAAACATGTGAGAGAAAATTATTATTATTATTATTATTATTACTATAATGATGATTATTGATTTTGCTTTTAGTTTTTTTTTGCGTTTTTCTTTATAAATGTATTGATTATTTCGGAGAAAGAAAAACTATAATTAAAATAAGATAGCGGTGTGTGAATAGGTGGCCTTGTCTTGTCTCTTGTTCTTGTCTCCCCTCCTGCCTCTCCCACCTACCTATCTATCTATCTCTTTCCCTTCCTCCTCTGGCTGCTCCTAGACTGTCTTTCTTTCTTCCTGCCTTTTCTCCCTCCTTTGCTTTCTTTCTCTCCTTTGTATATATAAATCGGCCTAATCACTTACACCGGAGATGCTTCGCAAAAACTGATTTCTTGGCTGCCCTTGAATCATTCATTACTCAAATCATCATCAAATTTGAACAAGGAAACACAGGAAGAGATACGCCAAACAAGCGTACCAACGGTCAAACAGAAAAAAAACAACCTACACACACCACTCAACTCAACTCTCAAGAACTAAAAGCCCTCTAAAAAGCTGAAAAATAGGAAGGACATCGTCATTTTTACCAGCCCCCGATAAAGGAAGAACAACAGTAGTCAGTAGACAGAGAAGAATACACCAAGACGCGAGGATGTATATCAACAACTCCCAATAAATCTCATACAAACATTGGACAACTGCATCCAAAGAACCTTAAACAAGCTCCCCAAAAACTGGATAGATCACAAAACAAGACCAATGACGAATGAAATCTAATGAACCAGTCCTACTACCCCGATTCAACGGCAGACCCAAAATACACAAGCTAAATATCCCGTTACAACCAATTGTATCACTCTCAGGAATTCCAACATATAATTTATATCCAAAGAATTATACAGAAAACTGAAACACCTAACGGAATCTCCTACTCATATCGTTGATTTTAACAGAATCATTGAATTGACAAAGGTGTGTCTCTGTGTATTCGTATTCTAAATTATTGGAGAAATTGTAAAAATTCTGGAGTCTTGTTGAGAAGTCGTGACCGACCAGTGAGATCCATCCAGATGTCATGTGTGAGGATGGATTTCCCACCCACCGATGACACATGGGTTGGTGCCAGTCGCGCTAAATGCATCATGAATTGGTAGAAGTTAGAATTCATGGACTGGCCATTGAATCGGGTGGGGTCCCAGTGGCTGAATGGTATACTACTAATAATAATAACTGACGAGGCTGTGAAATTACATCGATTGAGTGAGATGGTTAGGACATGTGTTACGTATGCCTAGTCATCGCTTTCCTCGACGGGCAGGGCAATGGTAGCTGACATAGGGTCAGGCTGGAAAAGAGCTGCTAGTGGTGGCCAAACCAAAACATGACTTCATCAGTCAATGAAATCTACAACAGTTAGTTGAGACCAGCCACGTAGGAAGGTGTAGACTTCCTGGTTGGGGTCCTTGCGATGGTAAAAGCCAATGGCTGGAAACTATCGTTGATATGGCTTAAAATCGTTCTCAATGGCTGGCTAACGCAGATGGATCCACTCCTTGTGACTTGTGATTTTCAATGAAACTATATTCTTCTTCAATATTACTATTCCTTTGTCTCACACCTCTGTTTACTGTCTCTTATGTGCATTTCTTCTACTTTCTTCTCTTGCTTTGTGTGCTCAACATGGAGAATGAGTGTGGCGACTTGAACTGCTGCGCATCTGTGCAAAGTTCTATGTCGAAAACAGGTAGACATACAGATAGATATGACATTTTGAATGTCATCTGAGAATTAACTTGAAGTAATTTTTTTGGTGGATGACGATGTCTAACAATGGAATGATGTGTGTGTGTGTGTGTGTGTTCGGAGCTGAAATGTTGTCAATACAGGCTGAATGTAACATTTCGAGCCAATCAGTCGACGAGAAAATACAAAATTGAATTAGAAACAAACACCAACTGACTCCAATTCTCAACACGAATATGTGAATTCAATCAATTCTTCTATACGGGTCAGAAATTTGGTCAGCGCATCACAAGAAAGATTTCCAACAGGCTACTGCAGACGCCTGTCAACAACTGCCACCTTCTCTGGCTCCACGCAGAAAGAATTAGCAACAAGAAACTCTGCAGTGGAATAAACCAACCAAGAACCAATTGTTCAACAAATATTATTGGAAGAAGAAACACTGGAGATGGATAGGGCATTCGCTGAGGAAGCCATCCAATGAAATCGCGCACAATGCTGCATGCCATCTCTGGAGTGGAATCCTAATGGAAAGCACGCGACGAGTGAGTCGTCTGTGCGAGGATAACATGGAGGCGATTTTATGCCAAGGAGGAGGAGATGAGGGATTATGGGCAACCGTGGAGCCCACCAACTGAATAGGACAGCTGTTAATAGAAGAAAGTGGTGATGTGTTTTTGAAGCCCTATAATGTTCCACTTGGATCCCAATGGATTAATAATGATGATAATAACTGACACACCCGTTTTCCAAATGGTAACTGTCATCGCTCAGGTCGTCTAGTGGATGATAACGCTTTGATGTTTGAAACAGTGTATTATTATTATTATTGTTCCCTTGGGTTCCTAGTGGAACATCCGGCTTCAACTGCGCGTCTCCACTTGCCACTTCTGTCTTCCTTCTGCTGTACTTTTCACCTCCATCCGTCCATGTTAGTCCATACTCTTTCAACTCCCCTCTCTTTACACGATCTCCCCCATATCACCCTTGCACTGGCGTCCCACTCACCACTTCCCATTGTGTCGGATTCCACTCGAGAAATGGCCTGACACTCGCGCGATGTCACCCAGCGGTGGCTTCCTCAGTGAGCGACTGTCCAACCCATCTCCACTTTCTCGTGCGTATTTGTTGGTCGGCGATTGGTTCTTGTTTTGTTTGTTTGTTCCCATAGCTGGTTTCTTGTTGTTGGTGGTGATTCTTTCTGGCCCGGCCATCTGATCTTCAGTATAGAGCCAGCGAAGACAGTTGTTGATAAAGGTCTGCAGTGACCTGTTGGAAATATTCTTTGTGACCCACCCGCCAAGTTTCTGATCCGTCCATATAGAAGAACCGACTGAGTTGACGTTGTTTGTATTGAAAATCCGACCGAATTTTGTTGTTGATGCTGGCTGAGTGACGAAGATTTCCAGATTGGTTTCAGGTTGGTTGATGAATGTGTTTCTCGCCCCCCACCCGATTCTCGCTGGATTTGACATCCTCGTGTGTTCCGACTGCGTGTAGTTGAGACAATGCTCCCTGGATAAGTGAAGTGAATGAAGTAACCTCTTTGAAACAATGAGAGTACTGATATTCGATTTACAGTGGAAGGCACACCATCACTCACTCATTCACCCACGCACTTACTCATTAGTTAGTGAAGGGAATGCAGCTGCATCCACTAGTGTTATCGAGTGCAACCAAATAGAATGAAATGTAGCACACACGACCTGATGGTGGGATTCCTCTGCTAATCTCCATCCATCAAAATTACCCAAAAAAAACAAAATATTTTTTTTCGTTCAACAGAAGGAATGTGAAAATTCCACTTTCATTCATTCATTCATTCATAAAATTGAACAAATATTATTGGTGATGTGAACAACTACTAAAACCCATCACATGAATGATGCGTATATAATAAACACACACATATAGATTCAATAATAATAATAATAATAATTAATTTATGAATTACTAGTCATAAGTTTTATCAGCTGTCTGACAGGAGAATGTAAAGTGATATATATATATATTTCGAAATTTCTAAAGTGTTTAAATAGTGTTACCGCAAAAACAAAAAAGAATTGTAAACAGAAATGAATCTTTAGGTTACAGGATTTCATCATGAACTGACATTAGTTAGAGAACCATTGGAAAACCAGCCACATGGAGTACTGGACAGCCAGGTGTTTCGTCCTTGTTTGGGACTCTTTATCAGTACGCACCGACCCACACGGTTCGAACCCAGAACCTTCTGGTTACAAGGCGAGCTGGCTCTTAGACCATTAAGCTACTGGGACTCGATCCAATGGCCGCTGAACCATGAATTCTAACTTCTGCCAATTCACGAAATAGTGCAACCGCTGCTAGCCAATGTCTTCCGTGGCGAGTATTTGTCCTCACACCCGACCCGCTCTACCCTACTGGTCACGACTTCCCACTAGAACGGCAGGTAAATACCTACCTACTTGCCTACCTGAATAGGGCCAGTCGCCAGTAAGCATCTCATTGATATCCAAGTATTGGTTTGGTTGATTAATCAGCCAAATCCCTACAAACCAATACGTGAATCTTTAGGTGTTTTTGTTTTTCGTTGCTTATCGTGTGTGTAGGTAGGTGGGATGTCTTCACGAACGGGGATATTAGTAGTACCAGCTAGCCAATAACCGCTTGCAGATATATTCATTTTATACGGAAGGTGGGGAGGGGCCAGTAGAGTTGGTAGAATATTCATTTGCTAACCACCGACCCATGTGGTCCACGTCTCACCCCCCCTTCCCCCGCAGTTGGTGCCGGTAGGTAGTAAGACTGATAAAAAAAAGGAAAGTTGGGCAGGTGTGTGAGGTTAGCGATCCCACATGTAGAGAAGGTTTGTAGCTCAAGGTGGATGATTTGCAGTTAATAGTGTTCTCTGAGGAGCTGGTTGGTTTGGTTGCGGAGATTTCGTCTATATTAACGTGTTTGTTAATTGCATATTCGTTTGAGTACCAGGCTTTGGGAATTCCCTGACTGCACTTTTGGTGTTTCCTCTGTCTAAGATTTCGATATTATCCCAATCAGATATGCCATCTAATAAAAAGTAAATCACATGTGACCAGAAAGTTTAAAATCCAAGTCAATAGAAAATGGTCAATACACGTATGAAAAGATGGTTGTTACCGGGAGACGCAATTCTATTCACCACTCATGAAGAAAAATTTAAATCATATCACTTTATGTTAAATATTTAGCTGAAAAGGGATGTTGTCCAGAGGGTGGATGACGAAATCTCCGCAGCTAAACCGACCAGCTCCTCAGAGAACACTATTAATTGCAGATGATCCCACACATATGTTGCCGAAACTTCACAACGCAAGCTTTTGGAGCCTTGCATTCCAGTGGGAAAGTAAAAGAATAAAATAAATAATAATAGAGTGGAGTGGAACTGTTGGTGTAGTTTCTAGTTCAATGATGATGTACTTCATGGAAGACAAACGAAAATTCTACGACACACTGGCCGGAAACTGAAGTAGAACAGGCAGGCTGCAGGTAAAAGAGACCTCAGAACAGTATATCAGATAACCATGTCTCTATACGGGAATAGATCAACCCAGGCGGTGAAACCAATCTGGAACAAGCTGGATTCAGGGAAAGCAAATCGTGTGCGGAGCGAATTGTAACTCTATGCATCGTCATCATCACAGAACAAAGCATAGAATGGCAGTCAACTCCGCCTCCACGTCAACTTTCTTCATCAACTTGGAAAAGGCCTCTGACAGTGCAGTGTTGATCGAGAAGTAATTTAGAAACTGCTTCATCACTATGGCGTACTGTGCCCTAAATCTTTACCAACCTCATTCAACAGCTGGCTATATGACAGTGGAACGCCTGAAGAAGTTCGAACCAGATTGCCGAACGAAACGTTGGAATTAATCATTTGAATTTCGCTGGGATTTTACAAATATAACTTTATAAATGTCTACTTCTCACTCAGCGCTCAATTATTTTGCAACTATCCAGTCAAATCTTGATCACAGTTCATGTGAATTATTTTGCAATCGAATGAAACTTCACTTGCGCCTAAAAAGAAACTTTACATGAACTTGGATTTCAGGGGAGAGTTAACAAGCGATATTCTCAAGAGAAAGATCACATCATCTCTGAGAACATTCTTTGCAGAGAAGCTAAGAATAGCATTCACCAGTCGCCTAAAGGACAAGATCCCGCATCTGACCATTTCTATGTGCATATATCAGTTCACCTGCTGCTGTGGAGTCAGCCAAGTACATCGGTCGTTCGACGCTCACCCTATCCAAGAGGATTCAACAACACTATCCAGGATGGTTGCGAAAAGGCAATACTGGTGCAATAAGGAGTGCGATAATTGAACACCTGGTTAACACTGATCATTCCATTTCAACAAACGCCTCCTGCTTCAATGTAGTCTACAAAGTGGAGAATAACGTACCAAAGGCAATACAGTTTCGTCTTCTTTGTATCGCTGAAGCTTTGGCCATTCACATAGAAAAATCGGGGCCTGTGTATACAAAAAAGAGAATTACTGAACCACGTCTACTGTCATGGTAACAACTTTGTTGATTTTGATGACTTAATTTTGTTTCTTTTCCTGTTCTTTATTTTGCTTATAATTCTTGTATTTATTGAGAACTCTTGCGTAATCTCATATTCTGTACTTTGTTCTTATGTGCATCCTGAGTAAAACTCACTCATCAAACTATTCGTATTATTATTACATAACTTCTTTTTTAACAACTGTTTTTGACAACTCATCACCTACCTTTGTTACTACCCTAATTTCATTAACATCTAATTTTTTTTGACTGATTTTATATTACGTAACTCCAATTACCAATCTTCACCTGTTTAGTTGAAATAACCAATTGTAATTTTGTTTGACAAACTTATTGTACATATACATACAAAATAACCCACACATATATTTGCGATTGTACAGCTAAGAAAATGAATTCGCCAGCGAAAAGAGACCATTGAAAACCAGCCAGGGAGTACTGGACAGCCGTTTTGTCCTAGCTTGGGACTCTTCATCAGTATGCACCCACCGACAGAGTTCGAACCCAGGACCCTTAGCCAATGTCTTCCGTGGCGAGTATTTGCCCTCACACCCGAACTGCTGCACCTTACTGGTCACGACTTCTCACTAGAACCCCAGGTAACTGTCATCTACCTGAATAGGTCCAATCGCTAGTGAGCATCTCATCAATATTTATGTGTTGGTTTGTAAGGATTTGGTTGGCTAGGGGTCCCGCTATGTATTGAATTGGCAGAAGTTAGAATTCATGGTTCGGCGGCCATTGGATCGGGTCCCAGTGGCTTAGTGGTCTACGAGCTAGCTCGACTTGTAACCAGAAGGTCCTGGGCTAGAACCCTGTGAGTGGGCGGGTACTGCTGAAGAGTCACAAACTAGGACTGAGGAAACATCTGTCCAGTACTCCCTGTGGCTGGTTTTCAATGGTTCTCTCTCTAACCAATGTCAGCGCATGATGAAAATCCTGTAACCAATCAAATGAATCCCTACAAACCAACACTTAAACATAGATATTAATTAAACAGTGACAAAGGTAAATAAAATAAGGATAAAGTCTACAAATGATGTCAAAAGAATGATGTACATTCTAAGAGAATACTTAGTTGAAGCATCCAAATAAGTATTATTATTATTACTATTAATAATAGTATAAATAGATTGTTTAATATGAATTTCCTGTTTTACACTCTGTCTAATATAAAAAATATTCTTTTATGCTGTATGACAATGTTTTGTTTTGTTTTGTTCTTGTCCAATTTGTTGTTTTTTTAATTTAGATGAGAAGTGGTCCATCATCATCTATTCAAACAATGGAGAGTAAATCTGCCTACAAGATGAAATCAAAATCAAAACCTCAAATGCCACAGTCAACAGCATCAACATCAATACAGTCAAGAATTAGTGATCCTGACTTCTTTGTATTGAATAGAGTATATGTTCCATTTAGAATGATGGTAAGAGAGTTTAATGTGCTGTCATTTGTGTCTGTGTGTGTGTTTCTTTGCGTTATTAATACTATTATGTATTATTATTATTATTGTTTCCTTTAGTTCCTAGAGGGAACATAGGGCCTTCAACTGTGTACGTCTCCATTGCTTCCAGGGTTTTATGTCAACGTTTTCACGTCTGCTCACATTCCTTCATCTCTTCTTACAACATCATCTCCTCCACTCCATGTCACACTCGCACTGACGACTAACTGACTTGCCACTTCTCATTCGGGTCCCATTCGAGCTATGGCTTGGCGTGTGATATCACTCACTTGATTGTGGTTTGTTTTCTCAGAGTATGACCAGCCAATCCACCTAACTCCATTTCTTCCTGGATGCATATTTGTTGCACAATTGGGTTCCTCGTTGATTGGTTGGTTGGTTCGCTCCCAGAGATCTGTGTTGCTGATCTTTTGTGGACGGACGATGTATTATCGCATCACATTCCAAGCAAACTTTTTATTTTATGGACACAATTCGATAGAGAATCTTTAGGGATTTGGTATTTTTTTATGGACGAGTTAGTTTCGCAGTGTGCTTGATGTTTTGAAGAAAACTCTGACGTCGAGCTTTTATTATTATTATTATTGTTCCCTTGGGTTCCTAGTGCCATTGGAACATAGGGCTTCAACTGCGCGTCTCCACTTGCCACTTCTGTCTTCCTTCTGCTGTACTTTTCACCTCCATCCGTCCATGTTAGTCCATACTCCTTCAACTCCTCTTCACACGATCTCCTCCATATCACCCTTGCACTGGCGTCCTACTCACCGCTTCCCATTGTGTCGGATTCCACTCGAGAAATGGCCTGACGCGCGCGCGATGTCACCCAGCGGCCTCTCCAGCCAAGAGTGTCCAATCCATCTCCATCCACTTTCTCCTGCATATTTGTTGGTTGGCGATTCCTTCTTGTTTTGTTTGTTTGTTCCCATAGCTGGTTTCTTGTTGTTGGTGGTGATTCTTTCTGGCCCGGCCATCTGATCTTCAGTATAGAGCCAGCGAAGACAGTTGTTGATAAAGGTCTGCAGTGACCTGTTGGAAATATTCTTTGTGACCCACCCGCCAAGTTTCTGATCCGTCCGTATAGAAGAACTGACTGAGTTGACGTTGTTTGTATTGAAAATCCGACCGAATTTTTGTTGTTGATGCTGGCTGAGTGACGAAGATTTCCAGATTGATTTCAGTTGGTTGATGAATGTGTTTCTCGCCCCCCACCCGATTCTCGCTCGATTTTACATCGCCATCGACATCTTCGTCCGTTCCGACTGCGTGTAGTTGAGACAATGCTCCCTAGATAAGTGAAGTGAATGAAGTAACCTCTTTCAAATCCCTCCTGTTGATGGCGATTGGCGCTGGATTTTGCTGTTGTTGTTGTTGGTTGGTTATTTTCATCACCTCCGTCTTTTCTATGTTCACTTGGAGTCCTGTCTTCGCCGGCTGCTTCTTCGACCAGTTTGTCGGTCAGTTTTCGCTTGTAAATCTTCGATTTTGTGTGACATCAAACATAAATCATCCACACGCGAAATCTAGGTTCTTCACGTCGGTCAGTCCAGGATATCCCTGTCTCCTCGTTTCCCACTGTCTGACGCAGAGAGTCGTGTGTGTGAAAACAATATTTTGACTCGTGATGCTTATTTCAACCTGTTTGTAGGATTATCGTAGTTAGTGAGCACTCGACTGCAATGAACAGATCTTGATGATAGATTCGATAGATCACGGATACTCGACGATATCACTGGTGTCATCAAATACATATTTCAGAGTGCGAGACATCGCAAGTCGTGCACCATTCGACTGCACACGAATAACTGCCTGATAATACTGTCCATGTCTCCTCAACAATCTTTCGTGATAGTTCATTCATCACTCTCGGAATTGTCTTATCACTTGGTACGTGCAATGTGGAATCTCCATGAGTTGGTTTGCAGGATTTTGATTTGTTCCAAGTCTCATCATTGAAGTGATGCGGTGACATGATGCAGATTGATGTGGGAAGTGGCCGAAACTTGAATCAAAATTTTGAGTGAATTTCTGCTGTCTGGAGATACAACCGTTAATTCCTCAAATCTGGATTTCTATCACGTTGGGGACATGAAATAACCTCATTGCCAGACATTTTCAGCCTAGGGTGATTCGCCAACCAGGCAGAAGCGATTATTCTCTCGTGAGCTGGCGGAGATTTATTTAGTGTTGCTAAACTTTAAAGACATGAGATGTTTTTCCTTGGTAGGATACTCCGTTCACAATTACCTCATATTCTCGTGTTGCACTATCAGTTGGACAAGCATTGAATACCAGGGAGTACTGGAGTCCTGTCTTTGTTGCTGCCGATGTCGAGCTTACTTTTTAACTATCTCATTTACCTACCAATGTTTTTTTCTTTTTTCTCTTCTGTAGCAATCCATATCATCACAAACCGATAAACGCTGTAAACTCTCCTGCCTACCATATAGTGCCAGTAGTCTTACTTGTGGTCCAAAGTTAAAACGTTCTACAAGTCGTAGTAGTAGGAGTAGTAGGAGTTCTAATAAACTAACTAACCATCGATCAGATTCACGTAAACGTCATCAGGCGTCAACACCAACTATTATTATGCCTATTTCTTCATCAACTAGTTATAGACGACCATCGAATACACCTGGTAGTAGTGGTAGTCATAGTCATCTTCAAGAAGGAGGCCGAGGAGTAGATGTACAGTCTGAAGGCATGAATACTCAACAAACGAATAATAATAATTATTATACAAATTGGAGTGAATTTGAATCAGGTCAACGTAAACTACAGTCGGTATCATTATCGATTGAAAAAGATCTATTACGCTATTATCACCATCAACAACATCCAAGTGAATCCGCACCCTATTTAGGCCTACCATGTTCTTCTTCAACAATGATCTCCGAAGAAGACGAAGAAGAAACAGAAAAAAGTAAAGAACATCCGTGTGAAACTCATCCATTATTAGAAGAATATTACAGAAATCAAGAAGAAGAACAACAACAACAATCAATCATTACACCGTCATCTTTATTATCTCCACCGCCGCCGCCGACGGTGTTGATAAAAAGTGAAAATTCCACTTCATCACCATCTACTTCATCCTCTTTATCATTTACTAGTTTAGAATCACATTCACGTTCTGCTATTCATGGTGTGAATAATGAAAGTCAAGCCGCCAGTAGTGTTGGCGGTAGTCGTAGTCGTCAGTTACCACTTCGACAGAAAAAAACTAAATTTTCATCACGTTTTATGAATTTATTCAATAAATCGAATTCTAAAAAGTCATAAAAAACACAAAGAATATCATCATGTACACAATGTATGTATGTATGTACTACTCATGGGTGTAAACATGAGGACATGTGACGTGTACGTACGTCGTACACTTACGTTCATTACATATATATACATTTCCATAGATTCATCTTGTTTTGTTTTTTCCGGTGTTGCTCCGATGTTGTTTTTTGCTTGTTTCTTGCTTTCTTTCTTTGTTTTCTCATGTTTTGCTCTTTGCTTTCTATCCTCCTCTGTTTTTGTTTACGCAATAACAACAATAATAATCACAACAGAGAACATAAAAATCAATACAATTGATTGATTGATTGAGTATTGGTTGCCTCCCTCCCTCCCTCCCTCCGTCCCTCGCTCTCTCCTTCTTCTCTACTCAACTTTATCTTTATTCATGATTATTGATTATCTATGTTGTTGTTGTTGTTGTTATCCACCATCTGCTCTGTTTCATGCTGATGATTTCATCTGGACGTGTTGTATGTTCACAATTGATATATTGATTTTGCTTCCTATTCTTTTTACACACACGAAGGCATCAACGCACGGATGTATTCTACTTAAAGACTTGCTTGTGTTAATTACACTTGTTTCAAAGTTATTGTGTGTGTGTGTGTGTGTGTGTTAAATTGTGTAAATCGATAATAATTCCCTTTTCTATTTTTCATTATTACATTTTGTCATTCGGTATCTTTCATACATTCTTGTGTATTGATTTTGTCACATACCAAAGGCCTATAACTGTGTAGAAACTTAGGCAAAAGAATGCATCCTCACAAGCACACTCATGCACATTTTACAGATTTTTTTTTGACACAGAATTTAATACATCAATCAATTACAACGAAATAAAATAAATACACCACTTACAACCACCCACCTACACAAAAACACACATACGCGCATTGACGTGTGTGTGTGTGTGTCGACGTCATATTTTGTCATCGTTATCGTTATTCTTGACCTCTCCTTGTTCTTGTTCTTCTTCTCTTTATGTTGTACGTTTCTGTCAGTTATAAGTGTCTTTCCTACCACCCTGTTTCTTTCATTGCAGATATCCCAATATTATTTGTATATGTGATTGTGTATTTTGCTGTCTCCCACCCACCCACCTACACAACAACTCAATAAACCAGCCTAAATGTACTCTACTCAAATCTAATCTAAATGTAATCTAAGTGCATTTTGGCGATTCCACCCCCCCCCATCTTGTTATGTATGTATTTTGTCTTTCTCTGTGTGTTTCTGAATGAGCACCTTGTGTTTTTGCGCCCTCCGTCCCCTGAGACAGCATTATTTTCCTTCAGTTCACTCTTCGGTGTGTGTGCGTGGGCGTGTGCGCGCGCGCGTAAATGAAATGTGCCATATATATTTTTTTAAATGACCTCGATTTTTCGATCTTTTCTCTGTTTACCTCATTTCGGTTTTGTCTTCTTTCATGTTTTCTTTTTGTTTGAATGTTTGAAACTTTTACTTGCACATGTATATTAGGCAACATACACACTCTACGCAAGCACGCACGCACGCACGCACACATGAGGACAGAAACCAAATCCTCTTTATTTATTTTTTTTGATCTTTACTCACTTTCCTTTTGACTTCACTTTCTTTCCGTTTTGAGTCGTCTATCTTGTTGTTGTATATTCTCATCTTCTCTGTCTCTCCCTCTCCCTCACTGTAGTTATGTACTGATGTCTGTGTGTGAGTGTGTGTGTGTGTATAGGTGCGACGTCTGTGTATGTATATATATGTGCATATATATATCAACCAGAACTGGCGTATGTATCCTGTACACAAAAAAATAACAAAACATGAACAGTTCTAGGCTGTAATGATGATCAAACGTGCCGTCATCATCAAGATGCTCATTGTCATCGTTATTATTTCCGACTTGTGACTTGTTGTCATTAACAACTATTAGATATCGCCTTTCTATCATTATTATTATTATTATCACATTGTCAATGTCATCAGTGCGTCCGCCTATCTGTCTATCTTTGTGTTTGTGTGTGTGTGTGTGTGTAATCAATTTCTTTTTTCTCTCATTCCTGTCATATAAATAAATATTCATTTTTTTCTGGATACATGTTGTGTATTTTTTGTATTTTATTGATTGATTTGTTGATCGATTCATTGATTAACTGATTGCCAAGTTTGACCACGGGAAGTATAGGCACCTAGGTTTCGTGCCAGTGGATACTCACTACCAGTCAGTCAGTCAGCAAGGCAGACGTATCTGCTAACACATTGAAGGAACTCGTGTCCCCATTGTTGTGAGATACGAATCCACGTCCCCTAGTAATGTTGCTTTATATAACTGTTATGATATTAAACGAGATATCTGGTAGGATTTAGGTTAAGTTTGCGAAAGATTTAGTTAAGGTGTTTAGCCCCGAAAAAAAGGTTACAGTTGGTTGGAGATAGATTAAGGCTAGGTTACAAATAGATCCGAGTTCAGGTTAGGGTGAAAAGGCCAAATTTGCGTTTCAGCACTATGCTTGTTTCCAAAGTCATCGGTGTGTTCGCTCCTCTTAGGTGCCTGTAGTATAACTTTTCTAGTTTACCGTATTACTGTCGGTATTCACCAGTGTACATTTCTCCATTTCATCGACGAAGTTACTAATAATAATAATAATAATATGTAGCCCAGCGTTCAAATAGTATTTGATTGGACACTAGTAATTAGTGTGACGTTTCTAATCCTTTCTTTGCTGCATTCGACATCACGGTGCACATTGATTTGATGATATTAGATGGTTGGAGGCAATCGACGCCACAGGAAGCCTTCGACCTAGGTTTCGTGCTAGTTGGCACTCACCAGTTAGTCAGTCAGCAAAGCGTATCTGCAACCTCCTTGAAGAAACTCATTTCCCTCCTTCCGAGATCCGAACCCGCGTCACCCAGTACTGCAGTCAGAGACGTCAACACTGAGTTATTCGGGCTCGCTATTGACCCCCTGCAGGACTGTAGTGGGTATTTTGATTGGACACTAGTAATTAGTTTCTAGTCCTTTCTTTGCTGCAGACTGAATTTTGATTGATTGCCAAGGTTGACCATGGCAAGTCTTGGACACTGGGTTTCGTGCTTGTTGGTACTGACTAGTCAGTAAGGCAGACGTATCTGCTAACAATAATAATAATAAACAGCTTTATTCCAAACAGTATTTGTGGTACAGGTATGGAATTTTCAGCGTGCATGGCAATATATTGCGTCTAATCACCTCATAAATTTTTATACGTCGGTGGCACAGTGGTTAGGACTCTCGCCGACCATGCATATGGTCCGGGGTTCGAGCCCATGCCGGTGCACACCTGATATCTATGGTCGGCCTGCAAAATTTGGGCTACCGATATCCATGCTGAAAATTCCATACTTGTACCAAAAATGCAGTGTGGAATCAAGCTGTAAATCAAAAAAAAAAAGCAACACCCCAAAAAAAGATAAATAAAAAAATAAAAAGAACAGCATCGCGTTTACATTTTAAACAATGCACCACAGGATATGAAATATAAAATTAGTGTGTAATAGAAGATGTGAACAAAAATATAATAGTAACGAGAAAGGAAAACAAAAACTAATGGGAACTATTTGTTAGAGTGCCGCAGTAAGTTGATCGTGTCATACCTAACGGATTTCTCGTCACGCACATAACAGCTGTGCCAGATATGGTATTGTGAAGTTTTTGTATTTGGTAGTCCTAGCATATAGCCAGCCAGCCTCCTATAGCTGCTTCTAGTTCTACCAGATGAAATGCAAGCAGACAGCTGCGTATAGAGAGGATGCTTGGGGTCCGACAATATTGCATTCGCTAGTTTCTTACATGACATAATATGTCTATCTACAATAGTGTTAACCAGTTGGCTTAACGATATCCAACTTGCCCTACTCTAACGGCTTTTAGTGCCTGCCCTTCTCAGCAAAGCAAAGTCTTTCTTAAGTAGTCCAGGAAAGATTAATGAGGAGCAGTAAAGGGGGATGGGTAGAATACAAGAATTGACAAACTGAGAAAGCAAAGACTGCTTTATGCCAGACTGCCTAAATTTCTTACATAGAACGTTGAGCGAAACATCTTTCTAGTAACTAGCGAGATGTGAGAGGACCAGGAAAGGTCGGTGGAAAAACTCAACCCAAGGAACTTGACATTAAATGTATTTTCAACCTCTCTGCCGTCAACGATAGTGGGGCCATGCGAGCTAACTAGTTGTTGTAGGCCACGTTTTCGTGTGAAAGTGAAATTGACTACCTGACATTTAGACAGATTTAGCTTAAGACCGTTTGAAGAGGACCAGTGACTAATTTCCGACAGAAAGTTATTTAATTTGGAACAATCTGACTGAGAATTGACAGGCATAGAAACAGAGAGGTTGTCAATCAGCATACTTAACAAAAGTGGCTACATCAGAATGAGGCAAGTCATGTAAGAAAAAAGAAAACAGAAAAGAAGAAAGAACAGCACCTTGAGGAAGACCAGCTAAAGTAAGTAAGTGAGGTAGTGGAGGAATTTCCATTGTAGACGGTGTACTGCTTCCTTGAAGGAACTCATGTCTCCATTGTTGTGAAATACGAATCCACATCGCCTAATTCTATTGCTTAATATAACTGTTATGATATTAAACGGGATATCTGATGGGCATTAATGAAAACAAAACACGTAGTTCAGTGAAGAGTCTCTTTTCGGCGGCGAATTCATTTTCACAGCTGTACAATCGCAAATATATATGTGTAGGTTATTTTGTATGTATGCGCACATTAAGCTTTTTAAACAAAATTACAATTGGTTATGGTTATTTTAAGTAAACAGGTGAAGATTGGGGTAATTGAAGTTACGTAATACAAGATCAATCAAGAAAATTAGGTGTTAATGAAATTAGGGTAGTAACAAAGGTAGGTGATGAGTTGTCACAAAAAATTGTTAACAGAAGTTATTTAATAATAATACGAATAGTTTGATGAGTGAGTTTTACTCAGGATGCACATAAGAACGAAGTACAGAATATGAGATTACGTAAGAGTTCTCAATGAATACAAGAATTATAAACAAAATAAAGAACAGACAAACAAACAAAATTAAGTCATCAAAATCAACAAAGTTGTAATCATGGCAGTAGAAGTGGTTCAGTAATTCTCTTTTTTGTATACACAGGCCCCGATTTTTCTATGTGAATGGCCAAAGCTTCAGCGATACAAAGAAGACGAAACCGTATTGCCTTTGGTACGTTATTCTCCACTTTGTAGATTACATTGAAGCAGGAGGCGTTTGTTGAAATGGAATGATCAGTGTTAACCAGGTGTTCAATTATCGCACTCCTTATTGCACCAGTATTGCCTTTTCGCAACCATCCTGGATAGTGTTGTTGAATCCTCTTGGATAGGGTGAGCGTCGAACGACCGATGTACTTGGCTGACTCCACAGCAGCAGGTGAACTGATGCATGCAGACAGAAGTGGTCAGATGCGGGATCTTGTCCTTTAGGCTTCTGTAGATCAGTGGGCGACTGGAGAACACTACTAGGTAAGAAATAGATTGAAGTTGGGGTTAGGGTGAGAAGGCCAAATTTGCGTTCCAGCACTATGCTTGTTTCCAAAGTCATCGGTGTGTTCGCTCCTCTTAGGTGCCTGTTGTATAACTTTTCTAGTTTACCGTATTACTTTCGGTATTCACCAGTGTACATTTCTCCATTTCATCGACGAAGTTACTACTACTACTACTACTACTAATAATAATAATAATAATAATAATGTGTAGCGCAGCATTCAACTAGTCTTTGATTGGACATTAGTAACTAGTGTGATGTGTCTAGTCCTTTCTTTGCTGCAGACTGAATTCTATCAGCCAATCAGGTTTGCAATGTGGCCACCATGCCACTCTAGGTAGCTCGTCATCCATCACGGTTTACATTGATTTGATGATATCAGATGGTTGGAGGCAATGGACGCCTCAGGAAACCTTAGACCTAGGTTTCGTGCTGGTTGGTACTCACGAGTCAGTCAGTAAAGCTTATCTGCAACCTCCTTGAAGAAACTCATTTCCCTCCTTTCGAGATCCGAACCCGCGTCACCTAGTGCAGTCAGAGACGTTACCACTGAGTTATTCGGGCTCACGATCGGCCTCCTATAGGACTGTAGTTTTTTTATTTATTTTTTTTATTTTAGATTACAGCTTGATTCCACAGCGTATTTTTGGTACAATTATGGAATTTTCAGCGTGAACATTGGTAGCCCAAATTTCGCAGGCCGACCATAGATATCAGATAGTTAAACTATCATAGCCAAAATCACGCTAACTTTGAACAACCAACCCGAATTCAAATGCAGAAAAGTCACATAATTGTTGAGAAATGAATTTTTAAAAACACGTTCCAAACATGATACAATACTAGATAATTGTCGCTTATATGTTGTAAGAATATCTCCCAGTCACTACACGGATAATCTATGAAGAAATCATACCATGCACGATATACGTGTGTATCTATGCAGGTAACCGTAGATCATGGCACTTTGAGATACATTGATATCTCTGACACTGATCCTGACTAAATCAATCTTAAAACAGTCGATGTTTAAAAAATTATATAATTCCAAAATATTTGCGCCTATGTACTCCAATTACTTCAAGATAAATAACATCAGCCGCCGAAAATGTCAGTAGATTATGTCTAAGAGAAGAACTACATCGAATTACTGTAAAAAACTAAATAATTTACGAAGTGAAATCGAAAATCTCAAACAGAAACTCAAATGTATGGTCAATGACAACGATTATGCAATAGTTGTTGAAACAGCCGAAAAAGCTAGAGAATCAGCATTAAGAAAATCAAACAATCACACAAATCAAAAAAATTCAACAAACTAATTGAAGAAAAGAACACAACAAATGAAACTGATGTCAACACTTCATCCTCTATCGACAGAACAAAGTGGGTGATCAACCTCTCTCATCAAGGGAACTAAGCTCTAGTGAGATAAAAGTACTTGAGAAAGGACTAAATTTCAACGTAACAGTTAATAAATTAAAACCATAGGATGTTATTCCTAACATAAAAGTAGCACTAAGCTCTTAATAGATAAGACGACAGCAGAAGA